GAAATCAGATGAGTTCCCGAGCGAGAAGATGAACCTGATTCGTACTATATCTTTCTAATTTGTGAGTTAAATCAACCATTGTTCCGATTTGAAACGTCAAAAGTTGCGATTCACAAGTGGCCGATCGGCTAGTTGTGAATCGCAATTATGCGCCTCGACTCGGAAGAGACGCAGTTTCCGATCGGGAGAGGCAATCAAAATCAAGCTGCAGGTGTGACTATCATTTTTGCACTCTAAAGTAACAAAATAAGGCACTTTTCACAATTTTTGAGGTTTAGTACGTGGTAATTGAAACGACCATAACATTCAAAAGCGAAAATGGCAGGCTGAGCCCAAATGTCCGCGAAACTCTGCGTGCTGTTGGCAGACGTGACACGCCCGTTAAGCGCTGAATGTTTTTTGTATGTATGTTACGCGACGACTCGACAACGCGACAACAATTTGTGAACCGTTTGATTTTTTTTACTGGAAAGAGGGTACGTGAGTATTGGTCCCATTTATTTGAAGGAAATATTCCACCTCTAAGGGTGGCAAACTAGGGAATTGAATTTGATTTCGCGCACTTTCCAATAACCGATTTCAATAAAACTTTTGACGTTGGTTTTTTTTCATAAAAAGTTACAATTATTGAGTTTCCGTATGCACTTCCGACTGGTTCTCTAACGCCGCTTACAATTTTCTTTGTAATTTTCTTAACTGGTTCGTAGAAATATTTTTTGCTTCACGGTATTGTTAACTTACATTATGTTAAAAATATTTAGCAAGGAATGCTCTATATCGAATGACATAAAGGACTTCAGCAAGATGTCACCGGAACAATGGGCATAAATGCTCACGCGCACGTTAGCTATTCTAATAAGACAAAGAATGTATCTTAAAGGTCTTGACGACGTGCACAGATGATTATTGTATTCCAAGTGTGTATTGCATTGTTCTGTTTTCAACTACTTGTTAACCTTCTCAAACAAAAACCAATCGTAATCTCTTTAACCCCTAACAAATTGTAGCTCTAAATTAATCTAGTACGGAACTTGGTCAACTTTACGTATCTCTTCACACATAAGACTTAAATTCATTTCAATCATTCAGTTCATTTCTTGCAGAAAAGGCATAATTATGATTTTTCAGATCCCTTACTTGAAAAATGATTGATTCTCTACAAACTTAATTTTTTTGTCACGGAGCTAATACCCCTCATAAGAGTCTGTACTGTGACGGTGTGACCTCCTTACACCGTCATCTCACCTCTTTGTATCGCCCCTCTCCTCTTGTATCTTATAATTTTTTTTATTTAAATTTGAATTGTTCCATCTTCCTTCACTTTCTCATTTTGTTTTCGTACCACGGTCACTCCCAGCTCGACTGCCACAACAGTCGGAGCTGTTAATAAGCTAATCATGTGTAATAATTTTATAAGTCTACACCCTTCCTGTATCTATTTATGTAATTCAGTTTCTCGGCCCATTTAGGGGTAAGCGCCTTAATAATAAAGTGTAGGGAGTGTTTTATACTGTTATACCTGTTTTTTTTACATTTACCTTTATATTGTTACAGCCTTTCTTTAAACTTTAATTCTTTAATAAATTTTGTGGACCGGAAGTTTTTCATTTCATTGCTGTGAACCTGTTCCCGGCTAGTTAGGGTTACAACCCTTTCAATACGACCTCAAATGGCTTCGGTTGATTACGCATAACAGTGAAAGTGTTGAATCAATCACTTTTGTCAAAAAATATAGTAAAATTGAAGATATACTCTGATTAATATACGGTGTAAAAACACGATGGAAAAAATACAAACTTACCTCGAAATTTTACAAGAAAACTGCTGTAATCAATAGGTATTTTACATTATACCAATTTTTTTTATATATCAACTGAACTAAATGCAACACTTATAGCATACAATACACATTTTTCAAATGGCTGTAATATCGTTTGTAAAAAATAAACTCAGAAATAAAGCCAATGTTCCTGCTGCTCGACCTTCGCAATATGGACCGTATTAGTACGGAAAAAAATTAAATTCGAACTGAGGTAGTATATAGACTCTTAATAATAATCTATGTTTTATTGTGATTTACTAGACTCTTGGTGCTTTATAGAACTGGCTTACTTAATCAACCATTTAGAAAAGGTAGGTAGGAGTGTTGTAATGTACTTGGATACTTAGGAATTTGTGTATCTTAGAAAACGACTAAGAGATATTTATATCATATACATATATATAACAGTATCACGTCAAACGACAATAAAAAAATCATGCTATTCAATAAAATAAATATTCCGAAGATAGTTTGAAGCATCCTCCCTTCCTCAGCTTCGTTGCTTCTCTATCCTGCGTGCGATTATCACAAGTTTCCCCTTATTGAAGAAGCTTTATTTCATAATGGACTTTAATGATAGTTATTTGTCGAATATTCTTTAAATTGTTTTACAAAGCCGGCCAAGAGACAACAGTATTGTAACACATGTCTCTTTAAGTTTTTCCTCTGAACGTAGTGATGATATATAACAAATATCTGCAATGAACTGCATACCATTTACTTATCGCTCTTTTATGTTACCCTTGACTGCCGCGTTGAAACGAGCAACGTGTTAATTTTGTTAATTTCGTGTACCTACTGCTTGATTTATCCACTTGCTACTGCCTGCTGCTTTTATTGTAACCGTATCTTTCTTTCTTTCTTTTTTTTATTGCGGAACTTTCCGTGTTTAAATACGTTTCGAATAGTAATCTATATCATTTATAAAATTATTTCCTAACCTTGTATTATATAGCCACATGATCATACGTCAGATGTGATCATAGTGCTTTTATGGATAATGGCTACCAACTTGATATCGTTTATACGGACTATAGCAAAGCATTTGACCGGATTGGGCATGATTTACTTGTACGCAAATCGCAGAACGTCCGTATCAATGGCGATCTGTTTAATAGTCTGTGGCTGAAGTCGTACATCAACAACAGGTCACAGGCTGTTGTAGTAAAAAATTACGTCTCTGAGATCCTTGCTCGCCCCTCGCTTGTTCGCGATTTTTGTGAACTACATCGAGCATTGTTATAAATCATCACAACTTGTATGTTACGTGGTTGATATGAAGATTATAGCACCTATTTCGTGAGAGTCTGATGCAATCCCGCTTCAAGAAGACCTTATGAGGCTTGACACCTTCGATAACACGCATTAATCCGTCTAAGGGAAGCGTTGTCACTTTTAGCCGCAAAAGTAACTTAGTTCATTTCAACTATTAATTGAAATATATTAAACTCCAACTCGATATTGTGGTATGCTTGATTATTGTGGTAGGGATCTTGGTATGCTTGATGATCATCAATTGCTATTTGCTTCGTATGTTGACGTTATTATTTCTAAAAAGCCTCCAAACCTCGCGGATTTGTGATGCGTAACTCCAGAGATTTTATTAGACCGGCCAAGACACTAAGGGTCGTATGCTAGAACTCTACTCAATGCTCAAGTCAGGACTTGAGTATGATTCAAAGCACTCGAAATCGTACTCAAGTCCTTGCCATTAAGGTCGTATTTCCAGTGCTTGAAATCATACTCAAGTCTGCTCAAATCCTGACTTGAGCATTGAGTAGTGTTCTGGAATACGACTCCCAAAATGTTACGTTGTACATTTGTCCGCAGCCACCTGGAATACGCGTCACAGGCCTGGAACCCTCAATACCTTACATACATCGAATTGAAAATGTGCAAAGGAGATTTATTAAGTTTTTACGTTTTCGAACTAGGGAGCGGTACGAGTCAAGTAAATTTGTAAGAAACATCATCTTTTGCCACTTGAGGACGTCAAATTGCAGACCTTGTATTTTTGTGTAAAATTGCTTCTGGTGCCGTAGATTCACTCGTGTCCAAGCCCTTAGAGCCCCTACAAAGACCCTTAGGTTTAACTGACTTCTGTGCGTTCTTCCGCCTCTTCGAACTTTCGGCGGAATGCTTATTTCTTACGTGCAAGTAACAGCTTTAATTTATTGTCCAAGCAGGTTAATATTGATCTTTTTAACTCTATTGTTGCATCGGCAAGTAAAGCGTCTCATTAGTTATTTACTTTTTGGCTAGTAGGTATTTATTTTATTATTGTTGAGAATTTGTCATAGTATATTAACTAGATAAATAGTTATAACTTAAGGCGAGGTTGGTGAGGACTTATGACTATCTCTCCATAATTATTTACGTTTTTGTTCTGTAAGAAAGCCATTGATTTGCGAATAAATTAAAATAAAATAAAAAATCACTCGTCATTAAAATAAAATATCAGGAGCTACATGAAATGAATCATATGTACAATATGAAATATCATAACTATCCTTTTTACGCATAAAAATGTTATCGACTAATTTCGTAGATATAAACCTCACTCCTAAAAAGTTACCATTTTGCAGTTGTGGCCTTTTTACACTAAGGGAGCGATTTATAAATATATAAATTAATCGAAATGTTACAAAGCTAATCGATATGTTCCTACTAACTCACGATTGATGTTTATATTAAGATAATAGAACTAACGTCATACTTATAAGCGTGTGTTGGAATGTACCTACCCATAATACGAGGAAATTCGCAAATTTGTAGAGTCATACTGGAGATCATGCAAGCAAATACATTACAATTCACAGCACATTAGCACTTATTGTTCACAAGGTGTTAATACCCATGCTATCCTATAACATACTTAATCGCCGTCGATCACTGAATATTCATTTAAATAGAAATTAGATTACTCTCTCTCATATGTGATGCATTGAACAAACCGAGGAATGGGTAACTTGTAGTCAGACGAGTTCAAAACAAGACAAGTAACGGAAATGCCTTAACATGTTCCCATCGGCACAGCAAACGATCATAACACAATTTACGTATAACTAGCGTTATCAACCTGCATAAACGCCCTTAACGAGTAATGTACTTAGTTGGAACTTAAGTCAAACTTAAAGGAACAAACCGAAATAAATATCAATATAGTTTTACTACTCACTCTGAAGAACCGAGGTGTCGGGTGCCGATGTAAACGTTGACTGGTTCAGATCGAAGAAGAGAGTCGTTAACAGAAACGATCGTTAGTACAACTGTTCACTAAGTCAGTGGTTAAATAGGTAATGTAATATTAGTTGGTAATAGTACGGCAGTCGGCGTGCGAGACGGGTGCCGAGCACGCGTGGCTGCGAGCAACTGATGACGTGAGACAACCAAGACGTGGTTAGAGCGCCGGCCGACTTGTCCATGGTAAAGCGAAAAAGGTCGTATGGTGGCCGCACTTTAGTAAAGAAAGCCCCCTCTGCACGCTCGTCACAGTATGACTTTTTGTGTACGCCGTTGCGTGTGCTTTAGTTTCGGTCCGTAATATATACAACGTGGTTGGTCGTTTACGCATTTCTTACTTGCGGGGAGAAAAGGCGAAAGGACATCGCGGCTCTGTTGCCCTCTCGCCACGTATCTTATTATTTAAACTCGTAAAGTTGGGATATACGACAATTTCTCACGTCTCACTTGAAGTCCTTGTTCAAGTCAAGGGTAATTAGTATGCAATTGCATACGCGCCATTAAACTGTCGCTTAATTTGTAAATTTATTTACGCTTTCGGTGCACCGTTGGAAAAAAGATACCTATTTATTAACAATTTTATATTACTGTATTTTAGTTTCCGGGTATAGTCAATAGCATTTCAAACGACACTTTGGACCGTTTTCATCGTAAGAACATAAAGTTGAATTTAAATTTTAAATGTCAAGTTTTGACTCTACGAAAACACTTTTTATCTAGCATTATCGCTTTTCAATAATGCAGATGTGGCTTAAGTTATAGTTATGTGTGTGTGGAACAGTTATAGTTTCTTTCTTAACTATTTCACGTTAGTAGCATAAAATAATAATTTTGATATATAAACGTGAAGTATAAGTACTATTCTCACAAAAAAAAAACAACTGTTAATTCGCCCGAACGCCTGAACTTTTGGTGTTAGCTAATGATCTTAAGAGCATTGGTGCTAGCAAAAGTTTTAGTGATACTTGCTATAAAATTTCAGTATCAAAATATTGCATTCAACAAAATTCCACAATTCCTATTCCAGCAATATATATATATATATCAATTATTTAATTCTAGCATTTAAATCCTTACGCTTAATTAATTCACGCAAGTCACTTGTAAAAATCTTAAAAAAAAAGAATGAAAGGTGACGTGGATTAATTAATATAAAACATTAGCTGTTTTACTTGTTTCTCCGTTTCGGTATTTTTAACCGACTTTAGTTATAGGTATATTAGGTGCTCAATTAGACAGTATGTTTTTTTATGTATGTTACGCGATAACTCCGACATTTATGAACCGATTTTGATGATTCTTTATTTGTTGGAAAGATAGTACCTCAGTGGTGGTCCCATTTAAGTTTGAAGAAAATATCTCACCTGTAAGGGTGGCAAACTAGGGGATGAATGACTTTTGAGGTTGGTTTTTTTAGTACTCTGTACTGAGATGATGAGCTTTGTTTTTCAGAATTAAACTGTATTTAGTCAATCTATTTATAACGCTAGTTTCGTGGTGCATTATTAATTTGTCTAGTAATATTTATAAATATGATTAACTGCTCCAAATCATCTCGAAGTATCCTCACTTTAAATCCTCCGTGTCTTCGTGACGTATAGCAGGCCTTCGTGTGCGTAGCTACTAAAATGGTCGCGTTGTGTGGCAATTTCAAAATTCTATATATGCGTAATGTGCACATGAACCACTGAACATGTACTAGTAGTTTTCTACGAGAACAGCTTTGTACGCCTATTACGCGCTCGATCGAATACTCAAACTGATGAAAAAGATAATTATTATGAAAAATTAAACGCCTATCTGACATTTTATTTTAGGCTTGAATTACTAACGTACAAAGTATTATTGCACCGCGCGGCAATGTAAGACGTTCTCGTTTTCAAGTTTATGAACTGGGTTCTGTCGTGTCGTGCCCTTTTTAAACCAACTTCAAGAAAAGAGGAGGTTCTCAATTCGGCTGTATTCTGTTTGTATGTATGTTACGCGATGACTTTGCGACTAAATTTGTGAACCGATTTTGATGGTTCTTTTATTGTTGGAAAAAGGGTAACTCGGTATTGGTCCCGTTTAAATTTGAAGAAAATATTCCACCTCTAAGAGTGGCAAACTAGGAGGTGTATCTGGTTTCGCCACTTTCCGGTAACCGATTTCAATAAAACTTAGCAAATAGATGTAATTCTACGATCTTTCGATGTCGGTTTTTTTTATAAAAATTTGTTTTTTATGATATAGGTACCAACTGAAGGGACGAACAAGCCGTGCGACTGACTATCCACAGCAGTTGTAGTGTCACTCAGAGTTTTAAATCGCATAAATTTGAGGGGCACTACCACTGCGCCCGTCAATTGATACATAAGTTGACAAAAACCAGAAACCTGTAATTTCATCATCTTACTTACATACCTTATAATGCTCCCGGCAATGCTGGCGGCAGAAATAGGTAAGGCGGCAGTACATACTTCCCTTGACGAACTCTTTCACAAGATGCTCTATTGCTACTAATACATACTGTCGCGAACCCTTTGTTACAAATTATTTTTCTACTGTTCTGTCATGTTTTTGTTTTATAGTATTGTTTTTTCTGATTTGCTATTGCCATTGTATCGAGAATTATGTTTTGTGTTTCATACATATTTGTGCTCATTTCTTTCGTTTCTTCACTCCAATTTCATACAGTCCACATAGTCCATTACACATAAAAATTTTAAAAGTCTCACAACAAACATATACATATTAATATATATGTAATATAAAAACTGTTTCGTTATTACTTTTCTGTGACATATTTATTTCTGTTATTGCTAGAAGCTCCTTGATCTGCGCCGCTCTCTTTAAGTCAAAGTAACGACCAACTAAAAATAAAAGTAATATGAAACGGATGACGAACATTGTAGATGGTTGCATATTTCAAAAGCATTAAATACCATTGGTTTAGACATTTTAATTATAGGGGTGTTGAGTGAAACAATTTTGATATGGTAATAAAAATGTTAAAAATTAAACGACTAAATACATCGACTGCTGCAACGTACAATATCGAAACTACAAAATGCATAGTTTACGGTACACCAGTTTGAAGTTATATTTTGACTTAGAATAATAAGTTTAATAGTGTTGTGAAAGTGACAACCAATTATGATAGCTAATTTTGTGTTTTTCTTACGCTTTAGCATAATTTAAAAATTTTATGTATTTTTCTAGATATTTCGCTTTCAATAGTTTACCTTGTTAGAGTTTGCTAGAAATTAGTCGAAAGTGGTAGATTCGTTAGTATTCAGGGCTTGTAAAATTTGACCAAATATTGAATCTACTAGTTTCGGTGCTTTTCATAGACAGCTTTTATAGAATCAATAAAAGTTTACCACTTTCGATTATTTATACCAAAGATCTGAACGAGAAGGGGATGCCAAACCAAACACTGATTTTAGAATTTACTACGTATATTTACTAATTATGAAATAAATAAATTTTTTGTATGGAATTCATTACCAGTAACATAGACAAATTAAATCATCTTTTAACTATAATATCTTAAATGAACTTTTGTACTGTAGCATGAGTTCTTTGATTTTTTATATGTAATTTTTTTTTACTTTGTAATAAAATCGAAAAAATAAGTAACATGACAAGTTTCAGTCTTGTTATTTTTTTATATATAATATCAAGAGATGGGACGCACAAGTTGTGCGCCTAATGGTAACAGTTGCAGTGCCACTCAGAGCTTTAAACCGCAAAGATCTGAGAGCCACTGCTACTGCGCCTGTCACCCTTACACATAATTTGACAAGTCTCATGTACCTGTAATTTCATCAGAACCATTACCCTTCAAAATCGGAACACAGCACTGCTGACATTACTGCTTGGCGGCAGAAATAGGTAAGGAGGCAGTACCAAAACTTTCAGTACAACAGTACTTTCACAAGCAGCTCTACTGCTGCCAATTGTTATTTACTTGTTAGTGAAACAATAAGGTGTTTATCAAGTTTTTAGGTTTTCGCGATTGTTACACTTAGGAAATGCAACTTTTTTTTTCGGATCTAAATCGCCTGTATTTGTTTTTTTCAAAAAAAGCAATGTTTCGGCCCCTTTACAGATCCCGTAGTCACGACTGACGACGAAGTCAGGTTCCGGACCTGAAAAGGGCCCGAAACGTTGGTTTGTTTGAAAAAATAAATATATGCGATTTAGATCCGAAAAAAACAGTTTCATTTCCTAATAAGATATTTATTACATAAAATTAATTTGTCAAGAATCTTTTACATTAGGAAAACTACATAAATATCACAAAAACCCGTGTATGAACACGAAATCTGTGTGTGATGTCGATACTATATTTATTACTGGCATATATGTAAAGGCTGTATATCACTATTGCGATTTTGCCCAGAGCAGTTGTTGGACCAAAATTCAATGTCTCATTTATATTTTATTCAACAAAATCTAATAAACAGCTACGGGTTGATAGTTTGCGTCGTTTGCTCCAAGTTTGCTAATATTGTGTGGTCCTCTGACCCCAGTATCGCAAATAGTAAAATGTATCAGTAATAACGTGATTTTAAAATAAAAGAGAGACATTTCACTGGAAAGGCAGTTGAGAAATTTTTGGAAATCGTATGTTGCGTATACTATTTTTGATGCAGTTTTAATTGCCATCATGTAAATCTTTCATAACTTGTGCTTTAGATTTTCGTCCGATTTCCTTGTTTGAAATGTGCTTGTCATAAGTCAACATATGCTCTTGAATAGGGCGTCATCATCAACATCAATATTTTATACGACCCACTGCTGGGCATGGGTTTCCTCTCAGGCGAAGATTTAGACCATAGTCATATTTCCTCTCAGCAAAGGTTCAGACCATAGACCAATGCGGTTGGAAATTCACACGTTTTCCGAGTTTTGTGAACCTTCTTCGACGTGTAGGTTTCATTACGATGTTTTTCCTTAAATCGGAATGCTCATGGTAAATTTCGCACATAAATTCTGAAAAACTCAGAGATGCGAGTCCGGATTCGAACCCATGACTTCTGCTTGAGAGGTGGTAGGTCAGACTAATAGGCTACTAAACGCTGTGGAAATCATTTATCAGACCATCACATATCTTGTCACCCTCTGTAGACCAAGCAGAAAATATATCATCATGAATATCATTTAGAAATTTAAATTCTTCAGTATTTTGTCACGCACAAGAGATTCTAAACAAAACACATGCTTTAATTATGAAATCAGAATAAATCGTGTAAATTTATTTTTAAGAACAAACAAAGGTTTCAGGCTCTTTTCAGGTCCCATGTTTACGGCTGTCTGTGACGGTTAAATCGTCAACCAGTTATGTTTAATTTTAATGTAAGCCACGCTATTTTACACTCAGAATTAAACATTTAAAAAATCGAATTTTAAAAGTATATAGGAACTAGTTACATAAGTGATATTTTGGATAATTTATTTTTGATATTATGAAGGGATATAACAAAACTGTAAATACTTATCGAGTTAATTATATTTTTTTTCATTAGACATGGTTTCACCGTGACGTTGTTGTTTATGTCTTTTAACGAAATTAACCACACATCTTCCTCAGCTATTTATTTTGACGATTCGGTCAGTTACGAACGTGTGCGCACGTTAGAACAGTATCGATTGTACCTTATTCGATAATGTTTGTCGTTCATAGTGTGAAGTACCGATAGTATTCAATTTAAAATTTCCCTTAATGTTATTTTTTTTACCAAACTGTATATTTTTCTAATAGTGTAACATATACTCTTACAATTGGTGCAATAAACACAAAAATTGATTTTGAAGTTTCGATACTGTTTGTTGCGGCAGTCGATATATCTCTTCATGACAATTCGGTCTGTTACGAACTGTGCGCGCACACCGTCGCTTTAGAACAGTATCGATTGTACACACGCCATCACTTCAAGCTACACATTGACGTATCTTGTTCCGTTGCAATGGAGACGATTTTCGAACAAAATGTGTAGTCTGATGTGCCGTTGTCCGTACCTTAAAGTCTGTACAAAGGGTCGAATCTGCTAACGGTTAGACAGCTTTACTTGTTTTCCAAAACTCTTCATCATCACTCTAAAACACATCCCCAAAGCCTCACTAGCATGAATCAAAAGAGAAGACACTACTCCGTCTGTGTTTCACTTCCAGCTAGAACATCATTTTCTCAAAGATTATTGCCTTTTCGGTCAGGCAGAGTGTATAATTTACCAAACAAAAAACTAGGTAAAATAAATTGGTCAAAATATGAAGTTAAAAAGAAAATCAACTTATACTTACAAACACTAAGCTATGATAATACTGAGAAAATAATTGAGATCATAAACCAAAGTGAACATACACACACGCACGCACACACACACACACACACACACACGCACGCGCACACGCACGTGCACACGCACACGCACATGCACACGCACACGCACACGCACACGCACACGAACACGTACACACGCACACGAACACGTACACACAAGCTAAGATACTCACGCACTTGCACGTATCTTCTTCCCAGTTTATGGCGCTACGTACTACTTAAGAAAATATTGATGTAATTTTATCTGAGTTGGGAGGCCTGCAGACCTAAAATACAAATCTTTGATTTAGTTTAGGCTCCAGCTTTCCACAAATGTACTTTGTTCTGTAAAATATTTACTAAGTTATTCACAAGTACCTTGTTTTAATACTATTGTGGAAGGAGAAATAAACTATATTTATTTTTTTTTTATTCGATAATGTTTGTCGCTCATAGTGTGAAGTACCGATAGTATTCAATTTAAAACTTCCCTTAATATGATTTTTTTTTGACGAAACTATATATTTTCTATCTAATAGTATATCATATGTTGTTACAATTGATGCAATAAAACAAAAATTAGATTTTGCAGTTTCGATACTGTTTGATGGTTGCGGCTGTCGACATGTTAGTATATTTCTTCTCTCTGACTCGTTGACATAAGAAACTGCAAATCATTCAGATAGTTCAACTCATACACCCAATGCATACACCACAAAATTTGCATATCTCCATCCTTAGTCTCCTTTATTGTTATATTTTTAAAATTTGGCTTTAGGTATTTCAGTATATTTTGTTTTTTAAAATGTATTAATTTAAATCAATGTAGCAGTGATAAACTTCAACACAGAGTTTTTAATTCTTATTATTACTATTTTTGCGAAAGTAGATCTTTAGGCTCAACTCACACTGGCGCAGAGTCGAAGCGTCGCGACGCGTCATTTTTTTCGCCTATAGCATATTCATCTCTATTTTCCAATTATTAAAGTACAAAATTGTGTTTTGCAAATATGGAATCTAGCTCGACGCTTGGTGGCATTCTAGAGACGGGCCCTCTTGGGCGCCGTGAGGCGTCAGACGCCGACCAAACTGTAATCCCGGCGCCGGCGCTCTAATGCGAGTGTCGTCGCGCGTCGACGCGTGTCGCCTGGCGATGGAGTTGTTAAACAGGACGCGACGCGACGTTTCGACTCTGCGCCAATATGATTTGAGCCATACCCCTTACCTAATCTGAACACTAGTCTTTCAAAAATAAAAATTTTAAAATTTTATACATGTTCTTATAATCTAAGCTTTACTGTAAAACAAAAATAACATTAATGTTATTTTATACACACTTCACACATCAGTGGAATCGCAGGAAATATTTTTTATTCTTTGTATTTTCTAGTAACCTATTTAGTCTTGATGGGATCGTTAACTCAATTTTATTTTAGATTGTATACTTACATTCAATGTATTTCTACATCTCTAGTGTCCAGAGCGAAATAAAAGAAGTAAAACGTCAAATTTATTTGTCATCTATCTCTAAGATCAAATCTAACTGCACAGCTTTTATATGATCTAGTTTTTGAATTACATTTTGAGTTTCTTAATTCTTTCTTACAGTTTTAAGCTGATGGCTTTATAGCCAATATTCAATAATGATTATTCAATCGTCAAAACAAAGCATAACCTCGAAATGTATCCACCGCTTGCCGCGGCGCAGCGCATCCGTGTTCCCGGTTGTCGGGGACGCTTCTCGAATCTGCAAAGGTTCTATATACAAACATACAGTACGCGATGCATAGATGGTGTTCCGGCGAGCCCGGCCGGAGCTCCGGGCGGGCATCGATCTTGCATTCTGCAGTTGCGCCGTGCAGCCCAAAATTGAATATTGATTAACTGACCTGGCCGTATGTAGTTTGTATGTAATCGCTCTTCTTTGTCCCGGCGCCGCGGCAGGAAGCTGTCTCCAGTGAATGAGTCGTGATTTTAACAATTTCAATCAAAATTTTCATCAAATATTTCAAGATTTAATGTTATCGCGTGTGCGAGTTATCACGTAGAAATTTCAAGGGAGTATTTTCGATAATCGGATTATTAGTAATCGGATAATTGATCTTAATTCCAAATTAAGTGCTGTTATACAATGAATAATTGTACAACCCATAAGATATCTCTTAACTGTTGTATCTTTATTGGCCAAGTAATTATTATTTATGGCTGAATTCTGCTGTATTACATTCAGTGGGGCTTGAGACTGCGAGTAGTCAACATGCACCGACCCATATTGTTCCTGGTTCTCCTCTCAGGTACGTAATCTTCCACATCTTCACTTAAGTGCAAATTATACCAATTCTGACTTGCTTCGGTCTACCACTTTATTTCTCGTGTACTTATTAATTAACATTCCCACAGGTGTAATTCTCAGTCCGTAATATAAATTTGTACTTATTGTGATAGAGTAGGAACTCTATCGTTTTGGTGTCTATTTTAAATGTTATTTTTCGGTTATTTCTCAATACCGGGGTGGTAGTTGGTTAGGGCGTTCTTTGTCTGAGGTCCGCAGTCTGGGTTTTGGGATAAAGTTCACCGTAATAAATTACCATGACTGTGTGAAATATATCATTTCTAGAATTTTCTAATACAGCTCTAGTGAATAGGGCATTGACTTTGTACAAGCGGCGGAGAAACATTTGCAAGTTAATGGAGCCTCATGTTGTGGCTTACCAATGAGCTCTGTTTTTCCAAAATGCATTCTGACAAATCAGAAATGTATTAACAACTTTTTGTACAGTTACAGCTGATCTATCATGACCTATTTGTTAGGACCTATAAATGATACCTACAATGATGAGGACCTATAGATGGTTTCTGACGCTCTTGGTGCTGACGAATTAAAGTTTTAATTATGACTTTTGTCACAATAACATTAAGATGAAATTCCAATACATTGACCTCCTACATCTCTAATTGTGCTGTGGTTCAGTCACTACAAGTCATAACTTATTTATTGACTCTGGACATTTCATAATAACCACTGAAGGGCATGAGTCTCTTCTGAGTAGAGGGAATTAATAGCCTTTACCTTAAATAATAAGACAGTGATGGTACTTGGCAGTCAATATATTGTGTTGAAAAAATATTTGAATGTGTGGGAATTTCCTATTTCTTAAAAAAGCATATTAAAGGATAGGTTAACTGGGGTATACACTAGTAGAGACAGATGTAGGCATCTCATCCGTTGCCGCCGCCTCCGCAGTTTATTTTACTAGAAGTTCGTTTTTGAAATGGGCGCGCTCCAGGGCCATTTGTATGGTCCGGGTTCGATCCGAAATCGACGCCATGTTGCGACGCTTCTAGGCACGCAAAATTTTCGCTAATGCCTGTGTGCGCAAAGGGCGTACCGCGCAGGCGCGATGTAGTTATGGAAAATTTGAGATGGGGCAACCTCATCTCATCCGCCATGTTCCCTTTGTGTAGACAACTGCTATAGAGGGGTGGTGATTGCGATGATTGTGTAATCTTTGAAGCAGAAGCTTTCTTAAATGAAAACAAGGCCATTTATTTGTCTTACATTACATCACACAGGCATCTTGTAAGGAAGGGAATTTCCCCGCGCATGGGCCAAGTCTGTATCGACTTATATGCGTCCTAGTACCGGGCACTGGTCTCCTTTAACCCGTTCATAGACAGTAACGGCACTTACCGTAAAATTATATATCAGAATATTTATTGTAGTACGTGGTATCCCCTTTCGCTGTATGAATTTAAAAAAAAAACCAACTACGAACTTCACAGTGCTATTACCAAATGCTTTCTGTGTAGTTGCCGGGTACTACTTTTCCATAGAGAAGTATCAAGAACTGTCTAACAAAATTCAATGATACATTAAACATTTTATATTGAATTCGATGTAAGCACTACAGCACAAAGAGAAGTAGCGATACTTTTGTGTTAGGAACTATTTAAGGAGAGCAGTTATCTCGCGCATTCAATGACTTCATTCATGAATGTAATGGAATGGAAGTGCTTCGTGGCACTAAATTTTACGAAGGGGCGCAACCTCCTACAATTATTCGAAAAAAAGAATCCGACTGTCGATATTCCAACCCGCCCTCTTCTACACAAGTTTTGACTATAGTGACCTTCCCTACCGACTCTTAGGGTATAAAAGAAGGGCTCTATAGCCTGTGCAAGCACAGGGAACGTCAGGTCCTCACCCTGTTTGCACAAAATCCGGTGCTCAAAAGGCTAGTGCCCTGGGGTAAGCTGCCCCGCGTGCACGTACAGCACCCTCCCTGTTTTCCAGATAGATACCGGTAGACTGGTAGACGCTCGCCGTACCCTCCGACTCTGGTCTTACCGGTGAGACCGGAACTCCCTATCTCTCGGGTCAGTAGATAGGGTTGGTCAATAGGACGCGTCTGGCGTGACACGGCTTGATCTAACACGAGATTTGATACAAATTTTAAAAATCGAATTTCCGTTGCCCGGCACTAAAGTCGACCCAATGTAGGTACCTACCGCGAAATCCGGTACATCTCGTAAGCATTTTAGCACCATCGAGAATCTTTTAAAATATTCTTTAAATAATAAAATTATTTACAAACACAAATGCACCTATTACCTATTAAAGTCTGAAGTCTAAATTAGAAAATGAAACTACTTTTTTCGGGTCTAAATCGCGTATCATCGCGTAACAGGTCCCGTGGTCACCGCTGACTGAACTTAAATTATTTCTACGTACGTAATTATTGAGGACGTTTCTCGCTGACAAATCGAAAGGGTCGGATAAATAGAAGTGCTGCACGGCTTCTGCTCACCCCGTAGTCTTTGTTTGTGAATGCGGAGAGTGAGCCACATTCGAAATCACCTCAAATTATTTATCTAGCAATTGGTTTGTTTAAACGACAACCAACACACACCCGCACCCTGGAATACTAGTAACGTAGTAAGTTTCTTTAAAAGACTGGCCGGTTATTTCATCCTTTTATTTTAGATATTTTGAAAATAAAAAATTTGTCCACTGTCATTTTTTACATTCTATTCTTTTCATTTCTTGTAATGTTTCCTATACCGGACTGTCGAGTGGTTCAAGGTTGATTTTGCGCTTTTTTATCTTTCGTAAACGTTATAAATTATTATGATAATTTATGTATATATATAAACACATAATGTATCTCATCTCCTCCCATAACGCACCAATGACGTGGGGTGCACACATAGAGACCGTTTCGGAAAAGTCTCTGCCAGATGCAGTATTTTTTGCTATATAATTCAATTTATGGTTGGGGAAATGCACATTATTCTGGGCCATCTGGCAGTGAGACACAGACGGCTACCACTTCTAATGTCTAAAGAGACTGAGGGTCGTATTCCAGAATTCTACTCAATGCTCAAGTCAGGACTTGAGTATGATTCAAAGCACTAGAAATCATACTCAAGTCCTTGCCATTAGGGTCGTATTTCCAGTGCTTGAAATCATACTCTAATCCTTACTTGAGCATTGAGTACAGTTCTGGAATGCGACCCTTAATGTAGTTAACCTTTAATTCTTCAAAAAGGGTAATTTTCAGGTAAGTTTTTTGTGCTCAATTTTGGCGACAATTTGTTTTTATTTAAATATTTGTAGAATATCATTATGAAGCATTATTTAATATTCGAGTGTGGTAACCTGAAATATTCTTTAATATTTCACTGTGATATAATCAAAATTGAGTACAAAAAACTTTACTGAAAAAGCTTTACGTTTTGCTCCTGTATTTAACAGGATGCCTCGCAGATTCGGGTCAAGAGGCACCTAAACCTGTTTCGACGGAAGTTGGTGGTGAATTTCTTTTACTTCTGAATACCTCTGGTATTGGTCTGACCAGCTGCTTCCTACTGACTCCCAATGGCGAATTTGTTGAAGTAATGCCGACGGATAATTCCACCGATCGATATGAAGTCCGAAAGAGTAACGCCTTGTCTGGCTGCTCTGTTACTGTAAAAAATGCCAATGAGAACGACGGGGGTGTTTGGGAGATTTATTCTGAATCTTCTGAAGGAGGCAAGGCCAGTTCTCAACGCTGGCTTGTGACTGTCATTCGGTCCGAAAGTAAGTATTTGTTTTATATTGCGTTATGTTTTTCAGAAATCAGGGTTGAGGCGCAAAACGTCTCATTTGTATAAAAAGTAAATAATTAAATTGCGATATTTTTTACTAGATCGATATAAAAAAAACATTGTAATGTAATTGTTTGAGATACGCAGTTTGGGCGTAGTTTCTTTCTTGAAAACTGGTATCTGTAAAACACATACCTGTTTTATATTCTTCTCTCTTGTACATTTCAATGTTAAATAGTCATAGGTTCACAATCAAACACCCATTGAATTGTTAAACGTTTCATTTTGTTCTAAAAATCTTCTTCATTCCGGTTTTACTTTGTTAATTTTGACTCCACAACATGAAAAGTTGATCTGAGCTACAATTTTTTTGTGAATATTAGCAGCATAATACAGCGCAATGTTATTTATAGTTATTAATAAACAAAACACAATCATTTGATCAATTATATATATATTTTTTGATGTACTCATGTTTGCTGCAGCAAAGTATTTGCATCCTCTTTTGACAGGTCTTTGTACAGAATCGTCTCTAGAACAAGAGCTTTTGGAAGACCTCATTTGGATGAAAAAAAAACATATCCGAGTTGAAGTTAATTCAAACGTCACTTTATCTATCAGCAAAATGGACTACCAGGACAACTGCACCTTGCAACCACCAGGTGGCACTGCCATGAATTTGAAAGATCTCGTAATGGAAGGTGTGCACCCTCATGGCGGTACAATCATCGTTGCGTGTGAGGTGGACATTGGTCCAATAAATGATGCGCTGTTGGGAGTTTGGATTCTATGTGGCCAATACGTCGAGGGAAATATCTTGCATAAATGGTGTCAGCCCACGACGATTGAATATAGTTAGTGTCTTTTTGTTAGCCTTTGACTTATGGCTTGCCATCGGTAGGAAATAACGTTTAGACTTTTTCAGATACCCTGAACAAGCCACGCGCTAGCTGGCATTCTGAACGACATCCAAAATTTAACCATGCTGTTCATTTTGGTGGTGTGTTAAATACGGGCGTAAGAGGCTCTGGCAAATTATTGAATTGTCACGTCGTTACTCCGTTTGGTGATGACATCGCTGTCATCGGCGACACGAACTACCCGTACTTCAATGTAACATTGAATCCAGGACATCCTGTCTGCGATGTCGCTATTGGTCCCATAGAAGCTAAATTGCTTGGAGACTGGGAGATCTATGCCACGTTCGATTCCTCAGTTCTAGGTTTTATGCATGTTTGCCAGCCGCTAAACCTTTTTCTTTATGGCAAGTATTATTCCTTGGATACAAAATTTAGCTTAATTTGCCCTTGGATAACTGGCAGCAAGCCAATATAATAAAGTTGAAACAAACAGAATATATGTATTATTGGTTTATGTATATTTTTCACAGACGAAGAAAACCCTACCAATCAAGCGTACAATATAACGACTCTTGACCAAGTGACCCACGTCGTGAATATTGCCAATACTATTGAAATTGAAGTGACCGGATTTGGAACTAGGGACAATTGCATCATCGCATTGCCGTCGGGTATAACTCTCGACCTGAATACTTTCTCCCCCTCAACTAGCGCGGTCAAATTTGTGAAGACTGAGAACAGGGTGTGTCGCGCCTCTATCGGGCCTATATCCGAGGATATGATCGGCATTTGGCAGATCTCAGGAAAATTCAGTAATCAAGGCAAATATCACGAATATCGTCGGCCCTTTAAGATTATTAAAGAAGGTATGCGAAAAAACTGACTTTTTAGGTGTAAAATCTTTTACCAATAAATTAAAGACATACTCAATTTAAATTCTATTTTAATATGGTATGCTTTGCCACCACCAAAATTGTAATAATCTACTTACACATTAATATTTCTTCTCCAGATCCTGCCAATCCGATAGAAGAAGACCGGAAGGTAACCTATTTGAAATCGAAGCGCATAGTAACCCGTCTCGGAACTACACACGAGGTCATTATTGGCAAGAGTTTCGCATTCGAAAATTGCCATGTTAGAACTCCTGCAAACTTGCAGTTCAAGATCATGGAAGGATTTAAAGTCCCCAACGTTAAAGTTTTGGAGGACGACAGCATCAATTGCGGCATATCAATCTACATTGAATCAGAGGCAGAAGTGGGAACTTGGACGCTCATTTCTAGAGAAGGTTTTAACTCGAACGCGGAACGTCGTTTACAGTTCACTGTCGACGTCAACGGTAAATAATAACACATATTGTACGTACACGTATCGAAGCACGTCTAGGGGATTAGGGAGATTAATTTGATAACATTCACCATGACCAGATATGGCGTTTAACACAAGGCTGATGACGACCCGATAGTCGCAACCATTCATCAGCTTTTTTTCCAATTGTTATCTGTCTTCACTTGAAGATGTAATGGGTACAATTTAATTGCAGAGGAAGTCGGAGTAGTTCCTGTAGCGAGTACTGTTGCAGAAGGTAACGATTTACATATCCGTCTAGAAAGGCCTTCGGCTTTACCAGATACTTGCGAAGTTATAGGACCAGCTTCGGATCGGAAAGTACAAAAAGATGAAAACTTCATCGATGAATGTGGCTACATCATCAAAAATGTCACTTTTAATGACAACGGCCAATGGAAAATCGTATACGGGCAGAAAATACATTACATAGGCGTTGTTGATATCTCAGTCGTCGGTACGTTATAATGATTACAAATTATTGCACAATTTTTAAGAAAGAGTACGAGATAAGTCTAAATTTCTAAGTCTTGTGTTGTAGGTCGCACGAGTAGTGGTGTTGAGAACTTTGTTTGGGTAAACGATAGGGCGGTGAGCCTAAACGTAGGGCCGGAGGATGCTGTTTATTGTAAGATCGAGGACCCGGCTGGGTCTGTGGTGTCTGACAAACTCGGTCGCTGCGCTATCAAAGTCGACCGCGTCAGTTCAAAACACGATGGCACTTGGTTTATGACAATTGGCATGCCGGGACGAATTCTCACAGAGAGACACTCCTTCACTGTTACTATTAGGGAACCCGGTTGGTTTCATTGTTTTATTTTCATTATTTTGTTGATTTGAAATGAGATTTTATTTTTTGTCCACTTTCACCGACAATTACGACCGCTAATATGATCACTGCGACAGTTTCCAAGGCGGAGGTGCGCACCCGTGTGGAGAAGAGCCGGCCCTACGTGACGTTACTGTGTTCCGTGGCAGTCCAGAGCAAAGTGACTGCGTGTAAGTTCAGGGGCCCCTCAGGCCGCGTGCTGCTCGCCTCCGAAGGCGTCGGCGAAGATCGGTACTCCTTCCACGGTGTCGGCGTACGGTAAGTACATCTCGTTGCCTTGGATGAACAGGATATCAACTCATAAATGTTGACCATTTACTTTAAAATGCAGTCCTATTAAAAAAAAATCCAGATATTTCTAATGAACAAGGTCATATAATGATCTCGTAATAACTGCCACGGTTTCCATGCCGGACTGTCACGCAGATGTCCCAAGTTCGATGCCCGGGCCGGGAGAAATAGTTGTGTGGCCTACATTTCTTTCTCTCGTGAGTTTGGGTGTAATTTGTGGTTGTCTATGTGTGTGCCCATGGACACAATCACACACCCGCGACTCAGGGTTTCCCTAGTGCGGGCGTATGTTGAGTGTGTATTTATTTATTTATGATGGGACGTGAAATGGCGCTGGAGGCAGGGCAGTGTCTCTGAACTTTTGCAAGTTTTGGCCCCAAAACATTGAACAACACAGTCGTGTTCAGTATTAACTACGAAGCTGTAGTCGTCAAAACGTCGTCGTTCGTTGAACAGGGTATAAAAACTAAAACACAACATGTGCTCATTATAAAGTGAGTGTATTTAAAAGAATATTTATTATAAAACGAAGACGATTATTTCAAGGTTATACCTTTTTTGGGATATTTTTTTCATTTTATTGTTATGGTAATCTATAATATAAAGTAATCGTTTGCGATACTACTATGTCCCTCAAAGTTTTATCGAATTGAATATGATTCTTTCATTTAAAAGTATTTTACTCAAACATGTTCGGAAATGTTTGCATTACTTTCAAAAAACGAACAAACGAACATAGAAAGTTTGTCATTTATGTATCATGCTACTTCTTCCCGGCCAAGGCCTGCAAAGTAAGTATGAAAATCCATTACTGTCCTTTTCTCTAAACTTTTAAATCTACCTACTAATAGTGAACTTTGTAAACAAGTAAAAGAAAATCTCACACAGCCAACTGCCCAGTGTTCCTGCGAGAATTAAAAATACCTACCTGTGCCGCTTACTTAAAAAAAAAGAAAAAAAGAAAATGGCGGTAACATTTAGACCTAAAGTGTTTCGGTATTCTTTTGTTTTGTCGTCTTTTTTGTATTTTGGTCGCGAAAATGAGCGCTAGTGACAAGAGCAATAACAAAAATACAGTAATAGATATTCAAACACATCATCCGAAGTTCAGCAGACTGTACTATTAATGTGCCTGTTAAAACAATAACCTTTTATTATTTCCTCGCATTATTCTATACGTGTTTTGGCGGGAACGGGGATTGCTTGACTCGTATTATTACAAGGCCTCGCTGGCGCTCGTCCTTATAACTCATACTCGTCCAGCAATCCCTTACTTCCTCTGCAATAATGTACTAAAGCATGAATAGTTTAGTTAAACTCTGAATCACACATATACAATATTTTATTTTCAAATTTCAGGATTTTGTCAATACTTATAAATTTTAATTTAAAGTAGGCTTTAAATACATATAGGTGAGGTGAACCAAATAACAATAGTGGCTGAAACAATGCTAGAAGAAACCTTAAAATTGCTCTCCTGAAAAACCTGTGTTTTTGAGATAATACCCTGTTCGTCTGAACCAACGATCTGTTGACCTCTGGTCTGCAGTTTACAGTGTACGAGCACACCCTGTATTGTTTACGTCATGCTAATGCAAGAGTAAAACGTCTTAAGGCACACTCCTGGCACTCCATACAACGGTCGAAAGTTATTTACCTATTACTACCTACAGCAAGGCGCTATCTGTGCAGATAAATGCGCGTAAACCGCGTAAAACGCGTAAATGTGTGCGTAAAGTGGCAGTGGCAGAAGTTATCCATCACTTCGCGCACTATTACGTCACGTGGTCAAAGCAGTCACGTAGCAAAAATTCTAACGCGAATTTGTTGTCTATAATCCTATTAGCGGAATCCTAATAATTACACATGTTCATTAGGTATTTATATCGATAGAATATTATATTTTTCATTAACTCACTAAGTAGAATAATATTGAAGATTTATATAAAAAATATATGAAAAGCACATAAAATGATATATTTTGGACATATACATTTAACTAAGGTAGGAAATTGCGTGCCTCAAGTTTATCATTACCTAGTTATTAATTAGATATATTGGCTAAGTAATATTTATCGGCAATGCAAATTGAAAATTCGAGACCCCTTGTCTACTAGCCCACGATGTTATGGCGTTTCATTATATTGATATAATAAATCTGTATTATATATTACACTGCACTAAATAAATGTAGAAAACAATAACTGAATTAATTTCAGACATAAGTTTTTTTACTTACTTCGTTTCATCTTTCGGAAAACAAAAGAAACTCTTCTCTTTACCCGGTTTAGATAATGATAAACAGCCCTAAACAGCACAATTCACGACCATGATAAATAGTAAAGTACAATGATGTTATATATTAACGTACAAGTTTCGTAATGAATAAATGAAACCAAATATCAAAGCCGTGTTAGCGCGAAAACGGCTCGCCGACAGCCTTGTTGTCGTTCAGTCAATGTGACCGTCTATGTGCGGGGCGGGGTGCGGTATCTAAAGCTAGAGAGGGGCGGTGAGTGTCCATTCTCGTTACTTTTTTGTTCTCTGCTTAAGGTTCGATGCAAACGTGACGAACCACGAATGTGGTTTACGCATTACCGTGCCGCTGGCGCAGGACCTAGGGCTGTGGCGCTGCGCTGTGAAGACGGACACGGACACGTTCTATGGATTCCTCGCTGTCCTTTGCCCCTGGGTTGCACCCGCACCAGGCGTTCAAAGAGGTAACACTCTAGTGCCATAAAAGCTGAGTCGGTGTATGAACATTGGCTGAGCCTACGTAAACATTAGATTAATATGTATTATTAACATTAGTTACATAAGAATTGTGATGGTATACTAAAAAAAAAGAATTATTTTTTATCTGACATATATTATTATAAGGCTGAGTATAGTGCTAACTTTTCATTTTGCACATCGTCATCAATAAGATGAACGACACTCCCGGAATCGATCTTTAGTCCTGTATAGGTATAGGCATATCGATATGATGATGATTATTTAAATGAGGCTCTCATCAATAATGGTGTAGATAATAATTATTTTAGATAAGTACATGATTATTTCATATTTGGATGCTATTTGCATGTATAAAAAAAATTTAATGTGGGTTACACCACTTTTGCGCTGATAGCCTCAAATTATCTTTCACAATTAGTGTAAAATAATATTAATGTTAAGTTTTAAAAAGCTTACTTGAAATGTACTGTATCATACTGTTGCTCTGTGATATTCTTTAGGATTTCTGCACTTTTCAATTTGTTATAAGCGAAGTTGTACATTTTTACGCGTATTATTTTAATCATTTAACGTGCTAAGGCGAAGTTTCAATACAACTTTTAGTTAATAATACGCAAGGCACTATACTTATGCGCTTGTGTATATGGCGTTTAAAATCCTGTATTAAGGTGCTTTTCCACCGGCGAGACGAGACGATGATTTGTGTGGTAAAATTTCAATTCTCTCCTAGCGCATCTTCGGTGGAAATGTCTGGACTGACGAGGTTGGGCGAGGCGAGAATTGAAATATTTGTTCATGTAATATTGAACCATAACCACGTCAACACGCGCGAGCTCGCGATGCCTATTAATATCAATTGCGAGATTAGATTATAGGGTATGTACGATTTGAGATTTTAAAGATTAAAACGAAAAATTAGATGAAATCGTCATCTGATTTGTCTTCCGTTAACAAATTTAATAATAATTTACGGGACATGGCACTTTAGCCGCGTGTTTATTGCTAGACGAACTGAACAGCACTGAAACGTCACTAACCACAATTAAAGAGCTGTTAATGGCTATTTTTGGTGGAAATAGGCCGGCGCGATTTCAATTCTCGTCTTGCCACGTCTCGTCTCGCCTTGCCGGTGGAAATGCACCTTCACACGCTTTTGTGTACAAATTTATAAACAAAATGGTAATCTTGTAAACTGAAGCGTCAGTCAGTATCGCGTATGTGAATGCGTGCAATTTGCTAAAGTAATTCTAGATTCGACGCTATGTAAGCACCGATTTTTAAATGTCTAAGGGTCGTATTCTAGAACTCTACTCAATGCTCAAGTCAGAACTTGAGTATTGCAGTGAGCACTGAAAATCATACTTAAGTCCTTGCCATTAGGGTCGTGTTTCCAGTGCTTGAAATCATACTCAAGTCTGCTCAAATCCTGACTTGAGCATTGAGTAGAGTTCTGGAATACGACCCTAAAAGTCTTTGATTTAAACTTTCTCAATTTTCACACATTATTTTATTTTTTTTATTTAAACACTTTATTGTACCACAAAGTAACTTACAAATTTTCAGAAACAATTTAAATATTTGTGTACAAAGGCGAGCTTATCCCATAAAGAGATTTCTTCCAACTAACCTTTTTTTATCATTATTTAATTTTTTGTTCGGGACTTAATCATGTATAAAACATATATTAATTACCTCTACGTTACGGAGGTATTGCAACTTCCATGATCTCGGAGGGACTGAAGTGGCGGGTGTCAACACCTTCTAGCCGTACGAGTTTTTGTAACTACCCCACGTGGTCTTCATTATTTATTTGTGCACCAAGGTGGCTAGACCGACACACAATGTGTAGTATACATGATTAAGTCCAGAACTAAAAAGTAAATATTCTAAAAGTATGAAACAATTACATTAATTTTAGTATAAGTAAGTCGGTTGTATTTTTGTTTTGTAGAACCAACTCTCATAGCTGATAAGGAATTGGTAACTGGTTACGAGGGCGACGCCGTGACCATGTCTTGCACCATACAATCTGCGATTAAGTACTGCTATTTTCGGGCTCCAAACGGCACTACATACAGCGTCAGCCCCGGTAAGTAGCGTTCAACAATCATACCTAAGAATTTCCCTCTACTACGAAAGGATTGTCGAAAATACACACACTCCTTTAGCCTGTGTGTATGTGTCTCAGTTTTCTCATCTTCGACTTATCTGAGAGCCCAGCTGGAGGCCTTGTAGAATTTATCATTTCTTTTCTTTCGAGAAACCGGATTAATCCTCCAGTATAAAGTTTAAAAGGGACCAAAACTGAGGTATCCTCTTTCCAACATAAATAATCATCAAAATCGGTTCATAAACGCCGCGTAACATGCACACATACAAAAAAAGAGTCAAATTGAGAACTTTCTCCTTTTATTAAAGTCGGTTAAAAATATAAGAAAGCATATCTGCCCCGTCTAGTAGCCGGTCCGCAACACTGTTTTAGTATTGCGGACCGAGTAGTGTTTTAGATTTACCTCTATATCGTTGCAATATAAAAAAAATAGTTTACATTTACGTAGATGATGTCTGCGTAAATAACATAAGTTACGCAGATGACATGGTGCTGTTGGCTCCGACGGTCAGCGCGCTTAGGAAACTTGTTGCTGTCTGTGAGTCATATGCCGCGTCCCACGGTCCGGTATACAATGTAAAGAAGTCAGAAGTCATGGTTGTTGGGGCAGGAAGTAAATTTCCTACTGTTGTACCATCGGTCATATTGAATGGGGTAGCTCTTAACAGTGTTCAAATTTAAGTGTCTAGGACATTTAATTAAGCCTGATCTCAGAGACGATTATGACATGGAGAGGGAGTGTAGAGCTTTGTCAGTAAGGACTAATTTGTTGGTTCACAGGTTGTACACAGATAACTCTTTTCTAGGCTTGCTGTTCTTCTTTTTTCGCGGGTACCCTGTGGTACCGATATACACAAAAGTCGTACATTGCTTTCCGCACCCAATACAACAATGCTTTTAGGATGCTGTTGCGGCTGCCGAAGTTCTATAGTGCGTCTGCAATGTTTGCGGAAGCGCGGACAGACTCCTTTTCTGCCATCCTACAGAAGAAAGTCGCTTCTCTTTTAAACACACTTCGTATTAGTAGCAACAGCATCTTGAAAATGATTGCTGAGAAAGTGGAGGGATCTCTCATAAGGAACCTCATAGAATTTACGCGATATTTGTTTAAAATAATTTACTAACATAGTTTATAAGTCTATTACTAATTTGAGGGTCGTATTCCAGAACTCTACTCAATGCTCAAGTCAGGATTTGAGTATGGTTTAAAGCACTCGAAATCATACTCAAGTCCCTACCATTAGGGTCGTATTTCCAGTGCTTGTGTTTCCAGTGCAATCCTGACTTGAGCATTGAGTAGAATACGACCCTAAGTATGGATTTACATTCTCCGAAAATAAATAAATTATAATTAAGATTTAATCACAACTACATTTCTTAGGTACGAAACATCCCCTCATGGAGTATGTAGGCGCAGGATTTGATGCTGGAGAATGTGGTATACGGTACAAAGGCCTAACCTCGCCCGTCAACGGACACTGGAACAGCGAAACCTGGAGCTGCCACGTCGGACTTCTTAACGTCTCCAAACCTGAACAACGCGCCACCATGACCCTTGATATGATAGGTACGTTTATGTAATATTATAATTTTAAATAGAGCAAGAATAGAGAAAGGTATGTATGTAGAGCTGTGTGTGTTGTACATATATGTGACATATTTATTTCAGTTGATAAAGCTATGTTGCCATGATAATTTTTTTATTGCGAAGACTGGATCAGTAACATCGCACTAGAGTCATTCGTTCTTTTGTTTATTTGGTAATTAACTATTGTTATACATTTTGAAAAACAAGGATAACGATATTAAATTGCGTCTATAGCTATCTTAGTCGTTTAATATCGCCGCGAAAACTACGAAACAAAAAATTTTTGTAGTTTCAGTTTTTACATATTTTACATTATATTAGTTATTATCTACGTATATATAAGAACTTTCATGTATTTAACTGTATTAAAAATCTTCTCCTCGCCTTTCTCCAATAATTTATCGGTTTTTTTATATATCAATTTGTTGGTTTTTATTATTTCTTTTTATTTAACGTTGATAAATTACTGTGCAGAGCTGTCAAAATGATCTAAAATCAGCTGTGACCTTGCGGCCATGTTTGGCACTGCGAAATTCTTTTGGTGCCATTAGTCGAGGCGCTCACGATGCGATAAAAATGTGACGTCACAGTGGTCGCCATGTTAGCTATTGTGATAAAATTTTAAAATGGCGGTTTTACCACTAAAATTTGAAAACTAAATGTGTTTGGATACATGAAGCGGATGAATGAAAGGAGAATGGCGAAAGAATCAACGTAGAAGGCAATGTTGACGACGAGAGAACAAATCGAAAAGTTCTTAATAGAATGGTATGGAAAATTCTATAAAAAGAAATGGTAGGTGAAGCAAGACTAATTTGTCAGAATGGTGTAAGTAAAGTGGCGATAGATAGTCTTTGCCTACACCAATTGGAATCGGGGCAGGAGTACAAATACGTATAATTTTTCCGCAGTTACACAGTTGACACCAGATAATTGGTGAAAGCGGTTTCACCAATTATCTGGTGTCAAACTAGCAAATTCCTTGTGTTGTAATTGTCAGAGTAAGAGCGCGTTCCCATTATGTCGTGATAACATATAGTCATGCAGTTTACAAGTGTCGTGACTTGTATATTTAAATGAAGTTGATCACATATAGTACAATACGATTACGTTACACGGTTAGACATCAGAAAAGAGGTAGAACGACATTCGTCACGATAAAAAAATGTGACGACAGATAATCGCAGCTTCAAACGATTCTGTCGTGCAAAGGACAAGGCGGTTGCCTTGAACCGATAAATTGTCGTCACGATCTAGTGGGAACAGCTCGACATGACTGTCGTTCAACGGCAAAATAAACTTCCACGACACAGTCACCACACAACAGAACATACTAGACGCGCCAGTCGTTCAACGATAAAACGTTACGGCATAATGGGAACGCGCGTTAAGGAAATTAACTCTGTGGGCACTATCCAGATAATTCAGAACCAATTTAAAAAAGTTAGTTTACTAATATTTCCAATACTCATCGAGCGCCAATGTGTTAAAAAAGTCGGTTTACACAATTTTGTGTAATTGAATGTCGCCAAAATCAGATATTTATTTATACTTGTTTGATTTCATGCAATAAAACTAGTCATTAAAACAGTTCTGCAGTTCTAAATCACATTGAATTTTACAACTTTATCCTACTACCGTAACGATGATTGTCACCTGCTTTTGTTTTGTCGTCGATTACTATTGTTTGGTCTTCGTGTGTATTGTGTTTGTAATTGTACGTATTTATTTAATAATTTCATTTTATATTCAGTGTGTTTAGTAAAACATAGCTAGTAAACAATTTCCCCCACAGTTACGTTAAAGTTATGATATTTAAATTAGGTATCACTGACGTAGTGTGGGACTGGTGCTCGTACATAGATTTTCCCAAATTCTAGATTTTATGTATCGTCTGGCGTTTGATGCAAATGTGTCAAACAATTTTCTTTACCGTCATTCGGCTGTCAATATTTTTTTTAATATAATAAAAATATTGGCTAACATTTTTATTAATTAACAAAAAACTTCAGTATTCCAAATGAAACTACTGAAAATTTTTTATTTATCCCATTTTCATCATATATTTATAGAAAAAAATACCTACATAATTCTCTGTAAATCAAAACGCCACAGACAGAACATCAAATAGTCTTCCATAGTCGTGAATTTTTTTGAAGAATCGGTCTTCAAATGCACCAAAAATTAGTTGATTTTGCATTGATTTAAACAGGACTACTAAAAAAAAGTAAAAAAAAGTTATTTATATTGTAGTGTATTTAAGTTGTGTGTAATGTCTTTTTCTAAGTTGAAATTTAAACTTAGGAGGATGTCTTATTGCTTTTATCATCAACACCATTACAACGTCGCTTATCATCGCACCTATCAACCAATGAAGAGGCATCCAAGCAAGAGTTTTATGTATGCGTGATGGTTCAAGCTCGCTCATTCGCTACCCGTGTTACGTGGTGAGGGTAGCGTATGGCGAGCCCCAATCATTACGTGACAAAGGCCCCAGCACCACCCCGTCGGTCTACATCGGCTAATTTTTAATATAATTTAAGAAGTAAAGCCAAGCGTGATGTTAAAGCCGTTTCATTTGTCACATGACTGCCTCGGTGGCGGAACGGTTACTATGCTGGTCTGCCACGCAGAGGTTCCGGGTTCGATTCCCGGGCCGGGAGAAATATTTGTATTGCCTACATTTATTTCTCTCGTGGGTATGGGTGTCATTTGTGGTTGTCTATGTGTGTGTCCTTTGCACCCGCGATACTGGGTCTTGCTAGTGCTAGGGGTATTTAGTGTCAATTAAAAATTCTACTATTTGACGTGAGTGTTGTTGACTTAAGGTGAAATAAAAATAGTGCTGTCTTAAAGGATCTACTTCACTGACTCACTCAGTGGGTTATCAAGATAAATTATATCTTTTTAAAAATTTCTACGTGCTAATAGGTCATCATGAAAAATTATACTTATAAAAAGATATAATAATAAATGTATTAATTTAAAATAAAATAATTTGGCAACAGAAAAATTTAAAAAAATATGTATAGACTAATTCTCATTCTCTTTGACGATTGTGTTTCAGTGAGTTAATTGACAACCGAATCAAACATATCACTATACAATAAACGTGGCAAGATTATGACGGGACGAGCAAGTCGTGCGCCTGGCGGTAAGCGACACGCCTATCCATAACAGTTGCAGTGCCACTCAGAGCTTAAAATCTCTAGTTTCTTAGGGGCACTGCTTCTACGCCTGTCACACTGAGACATTAGTTGACAAGTACCATGTGCCTGAATTTCACCAGCACCCTTACCCTTCCAAACACGAACGCAGTACTGCTCACGTTAAAACTTGGCGGCAGAAATAGGTAAGGTGGCAGAGCTTCTCTGGAGGACCTCTTCCACTGCTACTAAAATAGATACGATAGATAACTGGTTTATTTGCTGTAACACAATACATTACAAACAAGCTTATGACATAGGTACAATGGTAATTATAAAGAAGGCTAGTCCATGTTTGCGGGTATGGTCTGAAGTGTTATATTGTTTTCGCTTTTTCTCGGCGTCCATTCAGACGGCATTGTTTCAAACTGACTACTGTATAGTGATAGCTGTCAGATCGTTATTTGCAAATTACAAGTCCGACTATACATACCATGTGATATTAATTTCCACCTTACTATTGTCTTATATGAATACTTCTTAATGTTTCAGCTTTCAAAAATAACTCCACACAGAAAGCAACGTCAATAATAATATAATTCATTATTAATACGTAATAACGTAATACGTAATTCGAGAAGTAAAGATTTTAAAAAGTAATGTGAAATCTATTTTACATGCAAGACTGTATAGTAGTTTTTGTGTCCGAAACGTTAATTTTGAAAAATTATTTGTCGTTTCTCTAAATTCTTATTTTTCAAATTAAGTCCCTTTATTATTGAGCAGTGCTGATATGTGACCTTATATATATTGTATTTATATATTGTTAAGACATTCGTTCATGTATCTTTTCGCTTTATGTAAGCTTTATGTGTATTTCCTGCCCTCGTAACGAAAAAATGCACAACCATGCGTACTTTATACGACAATTGTGTCTTTTTTCGTTCCGGTGTACTTGAAGAGCATGTAAACTTTTTGAGAAAATTAGGACCATGAATGAATGAATAATAAATTGTCATAACAACAGGACTCTTTACAGATTGTTTAAATTCTTTATTGTAACATTAAAAAATGACTGTTTTCATAGTAGGTACTCATATCATAAAATTAAACATTACGTGTTAGAAAAAGATGTATGGAAAGACGACATGGCTCTAATTCCACACGAATTTGATTCAAAGTGTATTTTTATGTTAACACCTAGAGTTTTTGCTCGTTCTTCTCAGGGAAGGTAACTCAGTGAATGAGCAGTAGCTTAAAAAATCACGTTTTTTTTAATTTATTTTACATATGGAATAAATGATTTTGTGGTTTGATTTCACTTTCTCTATTATTTGTTAATGCCTATCAATAAAGTTATTATTATTATTATATTATTATTATAATTATATACTACTGACTTTAGTCTGTAACTTGTTGTTGTAGAATAATGTACTTAGTGTCATAGTTAGTCATTTTTAATGTAATTTGCGACAGAGTTACTGACGGTGGAGCAACAAGGCGGATGGGGGCAAGAAGAGGTAACGGTGACGATGCGCGTTGCCGGCACTCGTCCCCTCGACTACTGCCGTTTCGTCAGGATCGATGGATTTGGTGAATGTCACTTTTTGTACCGTCTATTCACTGTTCATTATAATTTAAGAACTGGAGAGATACCGTTTTTTCGGCGTCGGGAAGTGAGCGTGCCTTACCGCTCCGCCACCAATGAGGAGATTTGGTAGTCGGCTTAGAGTCGACGTCTCAGCAGTGGCGATCGTTAGTTGCGCAGAGCGCAATAGGAAGTAAGCTCGCTTAAAGTTCTGGTACCTATCTGGAAAATAGGGAGCACTCACCCAAGGCCGTGCATACGGGCTGTTCTGGGGTTAGGACTTGGTTAGACGGTCCCTGTGCGGGCTTGCTCGCACATGTTATACTGCCCTACCCGCATGGCCACGACGTTGTTGGGAGGGGCACTATAAACAAAATTTAGAAATATTTGGAGCTGTTCATTATGTAGATCAATAACTCAATAGGACAGCGTAGTCAGATATTTAGTACCGATTAGTACAACAGATGTCGCGACTTACTAATACGGTCCCGTTGCTGGTGTCATAAAAAAAACAAAAAAATAATTGTTATTAAATAATAAGTTTTTTGTACTCAGTTTTGGAGAAAACCAGCAATGTTTGTAAATTCTCTCGGTCTATAGTATTTCGGTTGAGTCAGGGCCATTTCAGCATAAACTGTAGTCATAGGTACATTAAAATTTTATCAGTTCTCATAGTATTTGTTTGTTTTTCTCACAGTATTTGTCTTTCTCCCAGTATGTTTTTTATATAAATGTGTATAACATTAATAATGAATGTTCTATGTGCTTTTATGTTATACTCTGTGAAGTGATCGTAAATGTTTTGTTTCTGTTTGTATTTGTGCTGAATAAACGTGTTATCTAATCTATCTATCTAAACCATTGTCAGCAGAGTGAACTCTCCTTTTAGGCGTCAACTTTTTCGCTTTTATTTATCAACTTCTCATGTTTTCTATTTTTAATTTTATAATATACATTTTTAGTGTTTTTTTTTTGTGCAAAAATTTTATTTTTAAACTTTACTAACAAAGTTAAAATTTTTATTATTTAACTAAATATCGGCTTCCATTCCGCAGGCTTCACTGTGGACAACGTACCCGATCTCTACTCGGTGGAAGATCTCCGTTCCATTGGCCAGTGCACGCTCCGGATTCCTGATCCCACGATGCTCGATGTTCATCCGTGGACCTTGGCAGTGCGTATACGTGGTCAGGACGTCGAAATCCTTAAGAGCACCACATTCAAGCACGGGGGAATAAACACGACGACTCCTGCGCCTACCACCGAGCCTACGGCTACCACCGACCCTACAGCTTCAACTGAACCTACGCCTACGACATCCGGGCAACATGATTTTATAACCATTAAAATTATTCCCGTCAGTAAGTAACTTTTACAGGTCGTCACTTGAAGCCCTATTTTTTCTTCATTCCACTGGCCGTTGTAATTCTATTGAGACTCCATTGAGATTATATTGCAATTACGACAATATTTCGTCTGTTTAAAGGTAAAACCATATAAGTGACATTTTTCATTAAAAATCTAGTTTATATAGCTATGGTAAGAAAATCACTAGCTTTCTGCTCGTGAAATTCAATAACAAAAAAGCTATAAACTTAACAAGAGTTTTATCTGCAGAAAGATGGTGAATTTCATACAAATGGTACATAATTTGGAATATTTTTGTGGAAAATGTCATGTAAAATCTAGTTGCAATGCCAGTTGAGTCTCAATAGAGAGTTACTAGAATTGCTGTGATGGCATCATTGACTTACAATTATATGGACGTCGGGTCCGCGCTAAAAAGTGTCCGCACTTGTAAGGCGCTAAAATCGCATACAGAGCGCGACACTCCGCTTTAGTCTTCATTTGTTCGACTGACAGCGCGATACTGCGATGACATAACAATTTAAATTTCGAATAGGTTGACTTGGGACATTTTTTTCGTGGTTTTTGTATTAGACCCGTCGTCCATTTATTTGTAAGTCAATGGATGGCATTCATTCATTCAATCACTAACGATCGACGTTGCCTTACTACAACAGCAGTTTTTTAGCAGTAGACCTCCTTGTGAAAGAGTTCGTCCAGTGTGGTGACGTTTTTAAGAGCTGGGTAGTTTTGACTCAACCAACATAACATATTGGGCAAGAGCATCGTGCGTTAGCGCAAGCGTAGTCTACACAGATCGGCTACAACTAGACGTGTCAAGAAAAATAATCTTTGCGATTTAAAGCTCTGAGTGGCACTACAACTGTGGACTGGCGTGTAGCTTACCATCAGGCGCCCGACTTGTTCGTCCCGTCCCTTAATTACTCCTTAATTACTTAATTAGTCCCTTAATTAACTGCCTCCGTGGCCGAACGGTTACCATACCGGACTGCCACGCAGAGGTCCCCGGGTTCGATTCCCGGGCCGGGAGAAATATTTGTATGGCCTACATTTATTTCTCTCGTGAGTTTGGGTGTAATTTGTGGTTGTCTATGTGTGTGTCCATGGCACCCGCGACACAGGGTTTCCCTAGTGCGGGGCTATGTTGAGTGTGTGCGTTATTATTATTATTATTATTATTACTAGTATTACAAAAAATAACTACCATGGAAATTACTATGCATATTTTCTTTTTTTATCTCGTTTAATCAGCAATTTAATGTCAAATCGTTATAAACGCCATCGATACGCCATTGCAGAGCTGAATACCAAAAAAAAATTACTATGGCAGATGATTAGTACCTCAAAGGCTAATCTCTGATAAGACACTAGCCTTAAGTTTTAGCAGAATACTAAACGTACAAAATCCTGCCATTGACACTTCATCCGACACACAATTCAGATGTTTCAAAATTAGCAGACTTGGTGCCCTGATTCCTTTCAATATGATTTTTGTTTTGATAGTTCTAATATTTCCTACGACGATGTGAACAATGCTATATCTAAAGTAGTTGATTGGTTTGCTGTTAATAACCTACTTCTTAATGAGAAAAAAACAAATTGTATGAAATTTACATTACCCAATGTTAGAGAGACGGTTACAAACATTGTAGTTAGAAACGAAAAATTGAATCTTGTGGATACAGTTGTATTTCTAGGTATAACGTTAGATGCTAAATTGCAATGGGGTCCCCATATAAGCAAGTTGTCAAAACGGCTCGGCTCTGCAGTGTACGCGATTAAAAAGATAAGGAAACTTTCAGACGTCGAAACCGCTAGATTGGTTTACTTCAGCTACTTTCACAGTCTAATGACATACGGCATTTTGCTTTGGGGTAATGCCGCCTATATCAACAGAATCTTTGTCCTGCAGAAACGTGCTGTTAGGGCAATTTACAATCTGGGCCCCAAAGTATCTTTGAGAGATAAGTTTAAGGAAATTAACATTCTTACACTAGCCTCACAGTACGTTTATGAGAATGTAATTTATGTTAAAAGAAATAGTAATTTATTTATGAAAAATAGTGACAGACATAACATTAATACGAGGAATAGAAATAAACTAGCTTTTCTTGATAGTCGTCTTCACAAAGTCAAAAAATCATTTAAGGGGCAATGTATACGCTTCTATAACAAGATTCCGGTTGATATATAAAATTTGCCTTTCACGAGGTTTAAAACTATAGTGAAACAAAAACTTTATACTAAAGGTTATTATACAACTTCTGCGTACTTGGATGACAAAAATCCGTGGTAGTAACCCGTTTAGCTCATGGAGGTAGTCTCGATCTCTGATGTTTCAAATAAAAAAAAAATATTGTAAATGTTATTTACAAAGAGCAACCCCTAGAGTTTCTTGCTCATTCTTCTCAGGGGAATCTGCCTTACGAATGAGCGGTAGAGTTTAACCATTGTGACGATTTCAAGTGTAATAATGCTTACCTATGAAATAAAGATTATTTTGAATTTGAATTTGAATTGAATTTGAATTTCTTGCAGTCTGATTTGTTCGAAGTTTATCTTATAGATACGTAAAATGAAGAGATCTACGACGATATTTCAAAAGACAAACAACGTAACGTACCACTGATTTGATCAGTTCGTATTCCGTATCTAAATCTTATAAAAAGCACATTGTGACAATTTGTATTAATTTATTTTAAATTGTTTCAGGACAAACCATGTTATTCTTGCTTCTGCTGCCAATTTTGATATTCAGCCTGGTCTTCTCTTGCTTCCGAATATTCCGCATATTTACTGCCGATCGCGCCGAACAGAAGGCGATCTTGCACACGACATTAGATACCGACATATACCATATTAAAAACTAAAAAGAAAATTACGTATAATCAACGTTATTTACATATTAATCATCAATATAATAATATAATTAATGTACTTACTTCTTAAAATAGTCAAAAAGTTCACATATAAACATATAAAATGGTTTAAAAGTGATCGAATGTGTTTTTGCATCGAACAAACTGTTAAATTATGGAATTAATTACATACTTGTGTTCATCGCTAAACTGGTGGGTTAATTTGCCAAGCCATTCGTTATTACCAAAACTGGAATTAGTATAATATTTAATAGATATTAATTTAAATTTTAACAAATATTTTAATGTCCATTTATAGGACAGTTCTTAGAAAGTAAAGCGATCCACTAAGTTGTGTGATTGCAATTTGAAATGTAGTAGGTAGTAGACTCCCTAAACCTGTGATTCTTGGCCTCTTTCGGCCTGTTTACCTGATCATCTTTTTGATTAATAATTTTTTTTGATAAATATATACATATCGATTTATATTATAATCCAAGTATTTTAAAAAAATACTATTTATTTGTGATATGAACAATATGTATTTGTAAAATGCATTAATGTTCGTCCTTAACTCTTTAGGCCAGTGGCCGAGAGCACAAAAAGGGCCATATACTCGCAAAAAGTGGTGTGGTGTAGTGGTCACGCGCCTTACAGACACGTCGCCTGTAGCGATTCTGGTAAAAAACATAAATTTTTTTAATTAAAATTTTTATATATTTTTTTATACATATAATTATTTGTAAAATCGTGGATGAAAACAGTTACGCGCTAGAGTCACCATGTAGTTCTAGAACGCTACAGTGCCACTATATACAATGGCACTAACTAGACTATTGTGGACCAGGAGTTATTGCCGGTAGCCGCCTCAATAGTAGAGGCTTCCATGCTGAAGTGTGGGCAGATATTTGCAATTGTAATTAAAGGATTTGCCAATGGCACAGAGTATATGAATAGTACGACACAGTGTCTCAAAGACGCGTGACAGAATAAGGCCGCCTTCAGTAGCGCCACTACAGCGCTGCATTGTTTGTAGACGTTTATTAAGCGCTATATAAGTGGCGCAACTGTTAGTGCAAAAATGGCGCGAGTCACGGCACTGACAGGTATTGTATGAAAATTGGACATATCCACAAAATTATCAAATAATGAGTTGTATTTACCAAATTTCTAAAGTCCAACCTCTTAGATTAGCAAAAAAAAGTCCAATATATAAACATAAATAAATATAATTATTAATACAAAGATCGAACACTCAGAAAAAATTCCTTCCATCCGGTCGGATTCGAACCGACGTCTTCTTGCATACCGTGCCAGACACTATACCAACTAAGCCACGGAACGAACCAACGGACCTCACGAATTTTTCTATGTGCTTGCGTCGTGTCTTTCAACGACTTTTTAGTCGTAGCGCCATCTATGAGAAATCTATTGCAGATTTATCACCCAGTTAGTACTTTTACAGCTACCAGTCCTGGCGAGAGATGTCGCTATTCATTGATTTATTAAAATTTTTATTGAATTGATATTCAATTATTTTTTGTGAAATTACTCCACTAGTTTGTTATAATTATTAATACAAAGATCGAGGCGCTACGACTAAAAAGTCGTTGAAAGACCAAGTACAAAGACACGACGCAAGCACATAGAAAAATTCGTGAGGTCCGTTGGTTCGTTCCGTGGCTTAGTTGGTATAGCGTCTGGCACGGTATGCAAGAAGACGTCGGTTCGAATCCGACCGGATCGAAGGAATTTTTTCTGAGTGTTTTTTCTGAGTGTTCGATCTTTGTATTAATAATTATAACAAACTAGTGGAGTAACTTCACAAAAAAATAATTGAATATCAATTAAATAAAAATTTAATTAATAAATAAATATCTTTGGAGTTACATTCCATTATATGTTTTCAAAATAAAACAAGAGTAAGAACACTGAAACTTCAAACTGCCATAATCTCTAAAGTGACTGGATTTGCATTGGATACTGATCCTTGTTATTTAACTACGTCCAATTAATACTGTTTCTATAAGCGGCTAATGTCAACGCGCCCTAAGTATGTAAAACTTGATTTTCTCATTCAGACCTCATTTTTAATAATATCAAAAAACCACATCACCTTTTGCGAGTAAAAAATACCCGATAACTGGCCTATCGGTGTCATCGCGTTTTTGTACATTTACTGAACGCATTGCGTACTTGAGAGAGAAAAGCAGGTGTGTTTGTTAAGGCTGTAAACTTGAATGGGATTTCTAACTGAAGGTTTTGATTAATTATGAGTAAAGGTTAGTACAAACATAAATGCATATAATAATCATACTAGCATGTCATACTGATATGACCAATAATAATTGTTTGTATTGGTGGTCATATTTACTCAGCATTAACACGAATGCATTACTTTATGTTTTGAAACGTCGTCGGGATAATAGGTAACCGTTTATCCCCATTTGTAATGTTTTTATAAATGCATTACTTTCTTAAGAATATTTGTGTCTTCCCTCGTGTGTTCCCTACCTTTGATGTGTGTAGATGCATTATATTTAATCAGAATTGAAATTTATGGAAATAAAGCAGTATGCAAAATTAAATGTTTCATTTCATTACCCATAAACTCAAAAATATGTACAAATTCGTACTGAATGGATTATGTCATCATTAGCCTATACGTATACTATGCTTATATATTCATGAACGACGAACTTCCCTATTCCTGCCGCTAAAGAGTGATGTGCGCATTACTGCGTCCTGGTTTTGAAGGATAAGGGTGCAGGTAAAATTGTTGTCTCAGGGTGCTGGGCCCTGTGGCAGTGCCCCTAAGATCTTTGCGATTTAAAGCTCTGAGTGGCTCTTCAACTGTTATGGACCGGCGTGTCGCTTACCATCAGGCTCACGACTTGGTTGTAACATCACTTTCCATCGCTATTAGGAATGTATTCCCGAACGTTCAAAAAACGTTCAGTACTAACTACAAACTATCTACGTTGACAGTTCACCTGTCTTTTGCCCTCATAATACTAGAAGTCTCTAGTAGTTCATGGGAATAAAAGAACTGGTTTGGAGCATCCGAGCAAGGACAAGACGAAATAATGGACTAAAAGGTACTAGAAGAATTGAAGAAAAGCGCCCTTGTTCAATTGACCGATTGAACTAGATAGGATCTAGGTCTTCAAAGGGAGCGATAGGTACCTCCCGCGACACGAGTTTCCTGCAGGAAGGACTTTATTCTAGTCAATGCTAAATTACTTAACTGCCTCCGTGGCCGAACGGTTACCATGCCGGACTGCCACGCAGAGGTCCAAGGTTCGATTCCCGGGCCGGGAGAAATATTTGTATGGCCTACATTTATTTCTCTCGTGAGTTTGGGTGTAATTTGTGTTTGTCTATGTATGTGTCCATGGCACCCGCGACACAGGGTTTCCCTAGTGCGGGGCTGTGTTGAGTGTGTGCGTTATTATTTTTATTATTATTATTACTGTCATTAGTACTTTTACATGAAATCGGCATTCGTGGATATTTTTTATCATATCAGGTGACGGGACGAACAAGGTTACGCCTGACAGTAAGCTACACGCCTATCCATAACAGTTCCAGAGCCACTCAGAGCTTTAAATCGCAAAGATATGAGGGGCACTGCCACTGCGCCCGTCGCCCCGAGACAAGTTGACAAGTCCCACGTGCCTGAAATTTCACCAGCACCCTTACACTTCAAAACCGGAACGCAGTAATGCTCACATTATCTACGTTGCTACACGTTGCTACGTTGTTTAATGCAAATTGTAAAGTACATGAGCTCTTAGAGAGTGGTGACAAGAAGAGTAACCATATTCCATAAAAATATTTTACTGGTTTAAAGTCATGGCAGAGACAGGTACTGGACTCCTATTAGTAAATACATCGTGATTACGCGAGCAGCTAAATTAAAAACATGACTGTAACTTTACTGTCCAGTGCACTCCATAGAGTTTTATTATTTTTTTCCGCCTTGTTTGATTCATAGCGCAAAATGCGTCAACGTAAGTTAACTGTCTGTTGTTGACGAGTACACAGCCCTCGCATTTTGTTCAGTTGTGCGAAAAATTTAAGATTCTCACGTGCAGGGGTTGTAAACCATTTTAAGTCTATCCTTTGTTTTGTTTATCATATAACACCAAAATTTGTTAACGACTTTTAGACTAAAAGTTTTACGGTATTCTCAATACTCGCGTGAGTTAAATTAACAACATACGCACACACACAAATGGTCTGCTACGCAGAGGTCCCGGGTTCGATTCCCGGGCCGGGAAAAATATTTGCATGGCCTACATTTATTTCTCTTGTGAATTAGGTTGTAATGTGTGTCCACGACACAGGGTTTACATTAGAGCCTATGCACTCGGCGTATTTTATACGCGATGCAGTCGCCCCGAGTAAACCTTTGCACACGTTCACAAATTCAGTGGCACCGCAGACGCACTGTAGTCGCGCGTATGTATTTAATAGTGAGTTTCATACATCACATTACTTACTTTTTAATTTATTTGGTGATTATTAGCTGTCTATCTTTTGTAGAGGTTTCGAACTGGATTTTGAAGATTTTTAGGTTAAACCTTTGCATACGTTCACATATTCAGTGGCGCCGTAAAAGCGCGTCATCTGCGCGTATACGGGTCTCGAACGCGCTTCTCGCGCGCATTTGTATCGCGTTTGAACCGACGCGCGTTTACGGCATCGTAAACAACTAACACATACTTTTGTAGAACACCATTGTTATACGCACTGGTTGTCAACCTCTGCTCTACAAGGGGTATAAAGTTCCACTCCAAGAAAAATCACCCATTGAAGTGTTACTTAAACAACGGTTCACCATGTTTTTAAGGTGTCTCTTGCTGTGTATGACGATTGGTCAGGTCCTCACCAACGAATCTTGGAAGCGTCCGGGATGCCACCGAAAAGGTTGGTGCTGAAAATATACTATGCTAATTATAGCGAAATAAAATTATAGTGATTGCTAATGATTTCTATGTGCTTTCACGTTTTTAATTTTTTTAATATTTTGTTTTGTTGTTCTTATTACATACAAATAGGTACAAACTAAAACAATAGAGTTTAAGTATTCAAATTTGGAGTCTAAATGTTCTCCCATCTTGATAGTACAAAATGATTAAATATTAAAAATTTAGAGGGATGCTTATATAGTAGTTTATGTGACTGTTACATAATGAAAGGCATTAAAGTACGAGTGAGGGTTTATGAAACGAGCCGATAGGCGAGTCTAACAAAACAGTTTACCTATAGCTGGTCGTAATTTGCGGTTTTTGAACACATTATAGAGATTTTATGATATGTGTGTAGATTTAAGATAAAAGTTTTTTTAATAATATAAAGTGGCAGGACGAACAATTCGTATGGTAAGCTACAGTATGAATTATGATATTGAATTATAAAAAGTAACGTCATGTGCTTGCGAAATTCGAACATATCTCGTGATATGCCAAGTAATAAGATCTTACGATGTTTTGTAATTTTTTATCGACTTCAAAAAAGAGGAGGTTCTTTCGGTTGTACTTTTATTGCGTGTATATGTTACGTGATTACTTCGGCATTTATGAACCGATTTTGATGATTCTTTTTTGTTGCAAAGAGGGTACCTCAGTGTTGGTCCCATTTAAATTTGATGAAAATATCAAATCTCTTATGATGACAAATTAGGGAATGACTCCGGTTTCGCGTACTTTCCGATAACCGATTTCAATAAAACCTGGCAAATACATAAATCTACTTCTAATATATTAATATCTATCATTCCACTAACTTTCGAGGTCGTTTTTTTAATATAAAAGTTGTGATTTTATTAGTAGTAAATAAGGTAGAGATGGACATACTTTTTTTATTTTATTGACTTGTGATGTTTATTGCGATAATTTTCCGATGGGATATTGAATTAAATAAAAACTAACGCGGAGCGGGTTCGAATCCAGGTTTCCAGTCATGTACTAATTTAAGCCTCATATGTCCAGGGCACTCACGCATTGTCACTATTCCGGACTGCGCGCCGTTCAATATCACCACCAACGCGTGTCTCGGCTTCTGCGAGTCGTGGTCGCTACCCAGCATCATGCTCGGCTTTAAACGGCATCCTGTCACCTCACTAGGACAGTGCTGCAATATCATGGAGTCCGAAGACGTGAGTAACCACCACCGACTACTTATCTTTCTTCCGTGGTAACCACCCTTTGCAATCTTTTTCGTCGACTATTTGACACGTTCGTATTAAAACCATAAAGGTAATTACCAAACTGAAGCGCAGGCCACACCGGCCAACGAAGCTAGCTAACTTAGCTTTGCTCACGTAGTCGGGGCATCTTTTCATACTTCGATTCAGTTAGCTTAGGTCACGTAGTTGAACCCCCGAATGGGTTCCCGCCTTGTTGTGGCAGGGATTCTCTAGTAGCCGTGGTCAATTTCATCCCACGGTGAAGTTAAGAGGAACGCACGGGCTGGCCGATGGAGCTAGGCTGGCCTGAGGAGGAGGGCGTACTACGCGGGCTCGTCTTGATCCAGGGCGATCGTGTCCGCGCGTACGCATTCGGGGAGGAGGGTCGCGGGGGAAGAGGAGTGTCGGTGTGTCGTTGTCGCTCGTCCTGTCCCTCGCGGCCGAATTCGGGCGACTGGCCCGTGTGGTGGGGGTTCCAAGACACGGATGTGTGTGCGGCGAAGCCCACCAACAGATCCGCCGCGGGGGCTGGGAGAGCATCCTCTGATCTTCACAGTTGAGGGGATGTTGGCATGGCCCCCATGGCCCCTGGGTAGCGGACACGGGGGAGTTCGTTGCCCAGCATGGAGGGGCCCGAGATGGAAGGCTCGTCTGGTGTTCGACAAGTCTTATATTTAGAGTCGGGGGACCGTTGTGCCTCTCTTCTCGGGATGGGGCTGCGCTGGGAGTGGCCAGCCGCTTGTGCAGCGGAGAGGATAAAACACCCCGGGGGTTTGGTGCGGTCAGGCTGCTCTGCCCCCGTAGGGCCGGGGTATCTGTAAACAGATGCCCTAGGGTAATAAAAAAAAGGTCACATAGTTGTATCCAAAACTAAGCCACTCTGGATGGTGTGAGGGGCGCCAGAAAGGAGACATATTTTACATAGCTATCGGGATCGTTCGGTAAGTTTAGTTAGCTAGGTTAGCTTAGTACGCGGTGTGTACCGAAGTATGAGAAGATGCCTCGGCTACGTGAGCTAAGTAAATTCGCTTAGCTTCGTTCGCGGTGTGCATTATTAACGCGGAATCGTCTTGATGCGATCGTGTTTAACCACACTTGTCGCATTTAGCCGAGTCGCCGTTGACACGGCCGTTCGCGCGCCGTCGCCCCAACTGTTTCTAAACAACTAGCAGCGTTGTCGGCATGCGTACGGGCGCGATGGGAAATTCGCAAGAAACAGATTCGTTGCCGTCCTGTGTCGAGCCGCGTTCGCTCTTACGTACATGGACATAAAGCTTTTTCTGACCGGCGTAATACGATTCTGCGTTAACAATTGCGGCGACTCCCTTATTCAACACACAAAAAATTTAAACGTAGCTAATTCAATAACATAAAAAGTCAAAATTATTGTGTAGCAGTAAAAGACATAAACCAAAAATCCACACGGAGCCTTGTTGTACAAATAAAATATTTCTGATTACCTACATAAACAAAAAAATAAAATAAAAAACTTATTGTTCGTATATGTCTAGCATGGTTATTTCAGAACATGAATTTTAAGTCTAAGCAACATCATTGTGAAAACGTGAAGTTGTTCTGATATATATACCCTTTATATACCTATGTAATGTATCCGACGACGCTCGTTCTTATTGTAAGCTTATTTATCTAGTATTTCTCATTGTAAGTGAATGTTTGTGTTCTGTTTTGAGAAATAAATGTCTTAAACCAGAAACCTAAAACATAAAATTAAAACAATAAACACGCACATTTATAAGAGTTATAAGAGTAGTATTTCACAAACAGAGCAACGAACTATAAATAAAGAACTACAAATACTAGTCGAGTTTTCACTATACGAGGACTCTCGGACCGAGTCCACTCGGTAAAGTGGACTCGGACGCGGTTCTATTTTTCCGAGTATACTTGGATCATTTTATAAATACGAAATAGCGCCATCTAAGAAAAAGTGGGATGACCGTGACTCTATGAGGCTTTAAACGTGTTGTTGTTTACGTTTCTCTTCCACTTCTCGAATAAAATTACCACGTCTTAAACTTTATTTTCTGGTCCAAATTTTTCTCTTCCTTCTTTTCTTGATTGTGCAGAGACAAATGCTTCTTGCACGCTGATGAACTCGTAAGGTGTACACAAAAATCCTAGTGGACTCCATGCGTTACGCTTCCATGTTTATGTGGCGAATGGCTATGGAGTGGAATTCCTTGCCTGCAGACATATTCCCTGAATCCTAAAACGGGCTTTTTCAAGACGAGAGCGAATAGGCATTATTTAGGTATACGTGTTCCATCGGCAACCTCCCTTTCCATTTTCGTGCGGGATTTTTCTTTTGAATATATATCTATGTATATAGCACTGAATGTACATAGATACGCCAGCACATCAAACCACACATTGACGTATCTTGTTCCGTTGCACTGGAGGCGATTTTTGAACAAAAATGTGTAGTCTGGCGTGCCGTTGTCCTTTACTTATCATCCGGAATTTGCACTGCCTGCTATGTAGTTTATCTTCAGTCGCACCCTACGGCGCTTATCGCCAGATCGTACAAAGAACTATTTAAAAAAATGTGTGTGGTGTAGTGGTACTTGGTGTAATGGGCTGGTGTCTGCAACTCGACGTCAAGGCGCCTATTTTGCGTGTGGTGGGTGCAGGGTCCTACTCGTGCCACCCAAGCTCCTCCAGGAATCTCAGCAGCCTCCTCGGTTTGCTGAAGACTTCGGGGAGCGACCTTGGCACTCCATGGTACTTTGCCCTGTAGTTGGCCACGCCGGAGCATTGTAGTAGGATGTGCGCAGCCGTTTCCTCCCCCTCCATGCACGCTCTGCATAGAGGGCCGTCTGTGATACCTAAATTGAAAAGGTGTTTATTGTATGGACCGTGACCTGTTAGGGCGGCAGTTAGAGTACGAAGCTCTTGCCTGTTGAGTTTAATTAATAATCGTGATAGACTGGCATTGAGCGTTGGGAGTGCTTCCCTCGCCTGTCTACAAACCGTACGGGTGGTCCATGTATGATTATGTGAAGTTTTTGTACCTTTGTGTATAGTTGTTCTGGACCATTGGTACGGGAGGGACACTATCGGTTCCGGTCCTACTGCGTCCGTCTCCGACCCTTTTCTGGCTAGTTCATCTGCTGCGTCATTGCCACGTGAGCCGCTGTGTCCTTTAATCCACTGTAGTTAAGGGGTTTTGTATACATACCTCCATGAGTGCTTGATGGCATTCATAAATGAGCCCTGAGTTTATGTCATAGCTGTTCAGTGCTTGAAGTACTGACATACTGTCAGAGAGTATTCGAATGGAGTGGTTCTTTACTCTTCTCGCTATGATTGCTTCTGCCGCCAACTTGATGCCAATGCATTCAGCCTGGAATACTGTGTTGTGGTCACCAAGCGATATATATCATATCCTGATATTGAGGTCTTCTGAGAATACCCCAGTAGTGGTGTAGTGTCAGTACTGCTACAGAAATCCCATACTATAATAAGCAGGGATCGGAATTGAGGTAGTAAGAGCATGTTCACATGACGACCATAGGTTTACCGTAAACCTCTCCTCCTCCTGCTCCTGCCGTTCACAGGAGCGCGTTTTTGACACAGTGAGTGAGATACAAAAGACTTTAATACTGATTTATCAATGGACGAAGTCGAGAAAGGTCCTGCAATATGGAATATGATAAGTAAGGATGATTCGAATAAGATTTTAAGGAGAAAGTAAACTGCTTGGAAAGTACTTGTCTTTATATTCTGTGACGGAGATGCCAAAATCAAAAATCTTAAACGCGTTGAACGCTTGTCATGTTAATATACTCTTAATCTACCTAAAGTTTGAACGTTTTCTTAGTAAGGACCCATTTCGTCATCAATGCGTATAGAATTTCTTTTTGTTTGTTTATTTTCTAAACAGCCGAAAGTATAGGTTGTTTCATGTTTATTTTTTAAATGGCTTAATTATTTAAATATGTAAGGACTTATAGAAACACTACTACAACATAGTACTCTAATTTACTTTATTTATTTGTACTCTAATTTCAATAAATAATACGCAAAATAATATAATATAATATAATACTCAAATTTAGTCAGTTCCGAGAAGTCCAACTGTATCAACAGCATCTGCATTAACAACCTGTAGATACAACTAAAATAATAAATGTGACAACCCTACGCTCCGAACGACGTATAGGCGTTAACGCGCCGAACAGAGTATTTGTAACACAGTGTATTTTGTAATGTCAAGACTGAAAAGCAATAAATGTTATTGCGGAAACCCCGAATTAAAATGGTATTCAAAATGAGTGAATTTTTACAGGTGACGATCACAGCGTTTTGTTTGGACGGCGAGCGAAATTTGGTGTTCAAATCGGCTCTATCGTGCGCCTGCTACCACTGTCAGAAAGAATAAACATACAGTCTCTACTCAGCAATATAGATGCAACACATTAAAAATGGCTATTATTAAAAATGTCAGCCCCATATTCTAAAACCAGATCACAGTAGAACGGAAATAATTTGTTTGTTTGCCACAGAATTCGAAATAGGTAAAAATTGTTATCAAAAACTTCTATAGATAATGTGACATATATTATTTTTATGTAAATCTATGTAAGTTTTGACGAAAGTGTAACTTGCGTTTAGACTAACGGTAAATTTAATTGTAATTTAGTAATATAACATTGGTATTAAAACATATCGAGTAAGTTAGCATCAACTTTTATTGTCGCCATTGACTTACAAATAAATGGACGACGGGTCTAATACAAAAACCACGAAAAAATGTCCCAAGTCAACCTATTTAAACGTAGTGACATGTAAAGGAATATGAAAAAGCTAAAAGGTTGAATTTAAATTGTAATGTCATTGCAGTACTGTCTAATTTTGCTTGCTTCGCTGTCAGAAGAAACAAACGAAGACTAAAGCGTGAATGACGCTCTGTATACGATTTTAACGCCCTATAAGTTCGGACACTTTTTAGCGCGGACCCGACGTCCATATAATTTGTAAGTCAATGATTGTCACCTACTTTTTTGTTTAATCTTATTTTTCGTTTATCTTACTAAACAGAACAACTGTTTTCTAATATCTCTCGGCAATGTTCGTGTTTCGGCTGCCGTCAGATTTCTATCAGTTGCCATCTTGTATTAGTAGTTTGTGGTTGCCATTTGCATTTAGTGCAGACCGGACGCGTTCAATCGAATTTATAGGTATATTGGTGTCCATAGTTTCTACTCTTTATTTTAATTATAACACGTTTTTAACCGACTTCAAAAAAGGAGGAGGTTCTCAATTCGACTGTTTGTGCTTTTTTTGTTTTTTTTTTTGTATGTATGTTACGCGATAACTTCGGTATTTGTGAACCGATTTTCATGATTCTTTTTTGTTGGAAAGGGGGTATTTCCATAGTGGTCCCATTTCATTTTGAAGAAAACCATCCACCTCAAAGGGTGGCTGTTCACGCATGAAGAGTCATTTTTATAAATAGCGCCTAACTTTAATTTAGGAGCAATTACTTTTAGCAATTATATAGTTGATTTTGCTATTTCTCCAATTCAAGGCGTTTTTCTCTCGAAATACTTTGAGTAGTGTCGTACTGAGAACCTATTTTTAATATCTCCAGTATCAAGTCCTGTGTAGTGGCGAACTAGGGGATATTTCAATGAAACTTAGCAAATAGACGTAATTCCACGTACTTTTGAGGTCGGTTTTTTTAGTACTCTGTACTGAGATTATTGATTGAAGGTCAGGCCATACAAATTGAAATTTAAAAATTAATAACCAGAAAAAGACTAAGATTCCTATATAGCTATATAAAAGAAAAACACTTTTCTGGTATAAAATGAAGAAAAATTGCGTGAGTTTATTTAACACTACCACCTGTCAGTCACATCTTTAGTTCACGCAATTATTCTTAATTAATTTCCAGTAGCAGTAGAGCACCTTGCGAAAGAGATCGTCCAGGGAGTAGTAATTTTGCGAGCATTATTGCGTTCCGGTTTTGTAGGGAAAGGGTGCTGGTGAAATTCTGTAATTTATGCCTGTGCATATGGGACTTCTCAACTTACGTCTCAGGGTGACAGGCGCAGTGGCAGGGCTACTAAGGTCGTTACAATTTAAAACTCTGAGTGGCACTCCAACTTTTATGGACAGGCGGTAGCTTACCAGACACACGACTTTTTCGTCCCGTCACTTGATATTACAAAATAGTTATTTGTTATGCAAGGCCACAAAGTTGCTGTAGGACGCGAGTGCTTGTATTGAAACCTGAGCAAGCGAAGGAAGAAAATATTGAACCACGAGCGAAGCGAATTGTTCAAAAATAGATTCCTGAGCGCAGCGAGGGTTTCAAGGCACCAGGCAACATTGCTGCCGAGCGAAAAATAAAACTTCACCTCACTATAGAGAGGAAAATGGTAGATTGTAGAAAAACAGTAGAGTTTACCTTCGGATGCGTTCCGAATTTGCATATCATCAATATTTATTTTTGCTTGTACTTCTATAATTTTGTGTGATTAAGTGATTATTGAAATTATTTTAGTTCTTCAACGAATTAAAATAATTTAATAAACACAATTAGTCATTCATCATTGTCAATGTATTTTTTTTTAACGCACACACTCAACATAGCCCCGCACTAGGGAAACCCTGTCGCGAGTGCTATAGACACACACATAGACAACCACAAATGACACTCAAACTCACGAGAGAAATAATTGTAGGCTCCCGGCCCGGGAATCGAACCTGGGACCTCTGCGTGGCAGTCCGGCATGGTAACCGTTCGGCCACGGAGGCGGAATGTCAACAATAATAAGAATAAAATATACCAACGGATTTATATTACTTAAATAAGTTATGTTATCTTTTTTTTTCATCGAAAGAAAAAGTTAGGTGCACCACAGTCCATCGTCAAGTTCGAATTTCAAAAACCTTAACAAAAAACGTTTTTGCGCGAGATTTCTAATGAGAAAGAAAGCCTTTTCGAGCTAGTGAGGTGAAAATACAGGGTGTCTCAAAAGAAATTTTATATTTAGTGGATTGATTAAAAAAAAAGGAAGCGGTATATAGAAAAAATGTTTATTTATTGTTAAAATACACTTTTTGGGAATTTATTTCTTAAAAATAATATCGTCTAAATGTAAACCCTCGCGTTGTTGGCACTCATTTAATCGAACAGTAAAATTACTTATGACTGCTCGACACGTGGAGTCAGGGATGGCTGCCATTTCGTGACGGATATTTTCTTTCAAATGCGCCAGTGAAGTCGGTTTATTGGCGTAAACTTTAGATTTAAGATAACCCCATAGGAAAAAGTCCATAGGGGTTAAATCTGGGCTACGTGGAGGTCAATTTATGTCACCTCTCCGGGAGATCAATTTTCCTGAGAAAATTTCACGAACACGTGGCAGAGACATATTGGACGTGTGTGAAGTTGCTCCGTCCTGTTGTAACCATGTTCTTTGGTTATAGCCAGGAAAGTTTTGCAGTTCAGGTACCAAGAAGTTGTCTAACATCTCCACATAACGCTCTGAATTCACTGTACATAACTGCACGCCCCATTTCGTCTTCAAAAAAGTAAGGGCCGATAATTCCTCGCGCCGACATGGCAGCCCATACGGTCACTTTAGGCGAGTGTAGGGGTTTCTGATGTTTGCGTTTCGGATTCGTTGAACTCCAGTAGCGGCAGTTTTGCTTATTTACGTGGCCATTAAGATGAAAATGAGCTTCATCCGAAAACAAAATGTTGGTAAACGTTGAAAATCGCTCAATCACCTGATTTACGAAATTAAGCCTCTGACTGGCATCTTGGGGCTTTAATTCTTGCACCAATTGAATTTTGTAGGGGTGCAGCTTTAGATCTTTGTGCATAATGCGATGTAATGATGATCTATGCACATTTAAAGCACTCGCGCGCTTCCGAATTGAAAGGTTCGGGTCGTCACGAACAGACTGATTAACACTCTCCACGTTTTCTACCGTTCTTGATGACCTAGGTCGCCCGGATTTTGATTTATCCAGCGTTGTTCCAGTCTCTTCAAACTTTTTAACCCAATGTCGAATGAGAGGAAGGCTTGGCGCATCATTTAAGTGGCGAAAACCTCGAATACTGCAGAATTTTCTACGCGCGACAGTTGCCGAATCACCGTTCTTGTAAAACTCTCGCACGCACAACGCGCGGTCTGCTCCCGAGAAACGCTCCATAGCGACCCTATAGCGACTGAATTCCCAAGAGCCAAGCTACCGATTGACATAACCCCCGCACCCCTCAGATACGCTGCGTTCACGCAGTAAGCTAAACAAATATAAAATTTCTTTTGAGACACCTTGTATAATTGTGTATTGTGGACTACAAAATTAAATCTACCATATTTGTTGCACACAATGTGTCGGGCTTTAGAGAAATAGTAAATTTCTACTTCAAACATATATTGATTATTATTTCGAAATACATGGGTAGTAAGTAATATGTGGAGAGTATATTAAGAAACTCGCCACATTTATTCGCACGGAATCGGATTGAGCTGGTCAGAAATCTCCTTTACGTCCATGCTATAAGAGCGAAAAAGACTACACGTTCCGCTTCCGCTTGGATGTCCAACGCGAAACGCACGTCAATTCAGCTCTTATTGCACGGATATAAAGATTTTTCTGACCGGCTTAATGCTATTCCGTGTAATAAATAAACATAAAAAGGTAGAACCAACAAATGATGGTATCATCGACAATGTCAAACTATATTTTCAAAGTAATTGTTTTGTCTAGGCTGTAGGCACCACTATTATTAGACTTTGTCTTTATCACGATCATTTTGACCCTGTTCGCAACCGATTAACTACAATAATGTACATAGCTAGCTATCAATTAATAGATCCAAATAATATTGATAATGTTTCGGCAATTTTATATAGGAATTTTGTTAATCAATAAAAAAATATTGCTGGAAGATAAGCAATAGCGACTGAAACTGGACATGATAGCGATTTGGTAATTGTGATAATTAAAAAGATAACTTATTCGAAAAATCTACTTGTCGCCAGTAAGTGGACGGTATATGTATATAAATTTTAAGTATCAAAAGTTAAGTGATTCTAAAATGTTGTTTCGGAGTATTTTGTTGGCTGCTCTTTTGGTCGCGGTTAGAGGTAAGGCCATTCTGTCATTACTTATTTTGTTATTTTTTTTAATAGCCTGTTATGTCCGAATGCTGGGCGAAGGTCTCATACTCCACTGTCTTTGGCGATTTCGAAAACTCTTTCTGAAATTCATCGAGATCGTGTCTCCAACGCCATCGCATCCGCCACACCGTCCCCTTCCATCCTCGGGCATCCAAGAAATCGCACACATTCGCCCACCTCTGGGGTTGCAGTCCCGCCATTATTTATAATTATGTAAAAAAATGTGATATAATGTGTAGTTATAGTTTCTTTTCTACAAATGCAAAGCGAAGTTTCTACCATGCGAAAAATTAATTACTACCTACAAACAGTATACAAATTGGGGACCGTATGAAGGTGTTCTGTTGGGGCGAAGGTTCACGTTCTCATTTTCAACCTCCTCAACAAAAACCTTTGCCGAAATGGGAAATATTCTAATAAACAGATGTAACAAAAACAATTGACGTAGAATGTGGTACCCCTTAAAATTTCTTTTGTTGTTACATGAAATTGTTTGTTTTTTTATGATACCGAGTGACGGGAAGAACAGGTCGTGTCTCTGGTGGTAAGCGACACACCGGTCCATAGGAGTTGCAGTGCCACTCAGAACTTTAAATTGCTAAAATATGATGGTCACTGCCGCCGCGCCTGTTGATCGCTCGAGACATAAGTTGACAAGTCTCATATGCCTGTTATTTCACTTCAAAACCAGAACACATTAGTGCTTGGCGGCAGAAATAGATAAGGTGGCAGTACTTCTCTGGACGAACTCTTCCACAAGAAGCTCTACTGCTACTAAATGGTACGATCGATTGTTTTACTTACTGTAAAAGAATCGAAATTTTCGTTAGTTGATCAACTGACACCGACTTTATTCGTTTTTGATAGGTGAGCAAAGAATTGCAGGGGGCGTTGTGGCTGATATAACAAAGTATCCATTCGCGGCAGCCCTGCTCACCAACGGCGGCTCTGGTGATTTCGTGCAGGAGTGTGGCGGCAGCATCATCTCTAACACAGCCATCCTTTCGGCTGCCTCTTGTTTCCACAGCAACGGAGAGTAAGTTCAGCATCGTGGCTCTCGGGGTCTACTCTCGGTCTCCGTCCGAAACAATTACAGTCAAATAAGTAATATTCGACAAAATTAAAAGACAAGTATCCAGTATGAAGCTTCATTCGCAACACGCGTCTTTTCATTTGGTCAAGTATTGCTTATTTGGCAGTAATTGTTTCGGACGGATGTCGGACGGAGATCGAGAGTAGACCACGTCGTACGAAGACAGCGTAACGTACTTACATATAATAAAGATAATCATTTTTGATAACGAGTTGATGGTCAGTAACGAGCTACGTGTACTACGTGACAGTACTACGTGAGTGCGAATGCCGATTACGCGAATGACGATAGTGCGAAGACGGTTGCGCGAAAGCTGTGATCTGTGATGAAATGATCACTTTAAATTTGCAAAAGCAACAGACAAAAAATCTAAACGGTCATCTTTTTTAATGATTGGTCCTTTTTGTCTGATGCATAAAATAAATTAAATCAATGTAGGTATATTTTAATCTGTTCTGAGCTAATGTTCGAAAGTTTCTTGTTGAGCCTAAAAACTAAGACAAATGAGCACCAAAAAAACCTGAAACCATGGGGGCTACTCTCGATCTCCGTTCGAAACAATTACTGTCAAATAAGTAATATTCGACAAAATTAAAAGACAAGTATCCAGTATGAAGCTTCATTCGCATCACGCGTCTTTTTATTTGGTCAAGTATTGCTTATTTGGCAGTAATTGTTTCGGACGGATGTCGGACGGATATCGAGAGTAGACCCCCGTGTTCGGAAACGCAAGAAAATTGGCTTCATTGCTTTTTCATAAACTTGTGACGTCATCCCACCTTTTTGCCACCCTTTTCTCTGATTCCTAACCACCCACTTTGAAATTTTGAATCGGTCTTAAATTCCTTTTCCTTCTTCGTCACTTACTTTTCTTCTTTCCATCGCCACTCTCTACTAAATTTCCGAAGCGAGCACTCGTGCTCCACTTCAAATAAAATTCTGACCAGTTAAATCATGTAACCTAAGTGGTTGTAAAGTATTATACGTATTTGTACCATTGAAAATCATGTAACCGAACGGCTTACAAAGCATAGTATTTCTAGATATAATTACAGGCCCTTTTGGGGTAAGTTCCTTGTTACCATTACCTGTGTATAATTTAAGTAGGGAGTCATTTATGTCATTGTACCTGTTTTTATATCATTGTTTAGTTACAGCTTTTACGCCTTTACTTGTTCTTTTCCCTTCCTATACTCTTGATTTCTCTTCCCTTCCTTTACTCTTTATTTCATGTGGGCCGACTCTTCTATTTAATTACGCGAGACCCGCGTGACATACTAACCTTTTTTTTTTTGACATACTAACCTAACCTAACCTACTGTATGGAGGGCTCTACCAAGATTTGACCTACACGAAAAAGAGGATCAAATATTGTTTTTGACTATCAAATATTAATTTAGTATATTTAAATATAGGGGTAGAGTTACTTTGAATGCAGTACACTTATAATTTATCCGTAGACCAACTAATATACACGGAAAAGGTAAGATATTAATATCAAACATAAATAAATATCGTTTTTAAAAAAATAGCACATTTATATTTGATGATGAAATAATATTATTCCAAGAAAAATTAAGTTAAATTTCTGAGATTACGGATCATCTAATTTTTCAAATAAAATTTTGCCATGATCCGTGATTTGCCAGAAGTATTTATTTACAGGCTTCACAACGCACTCTGGTGGCGCGCACGAGTCGGATCCTCGTCGTCAATAGCAAGTGGTTTCATCCACTTAATCAACCGTATCACAGTTAATCCTAATTTCAATCAAATAACGAATGTCCACGACCTGGCTGTGTTGCGGCCATCGGTAGCTCTGGCGTGGCGAGATGGTGTTCAACCGGCTCCTATCGCTGGAATGGCCTATACTCTTTCAAATCAACAGAGTGTACAGGCTATCGGATGGGGAAGAACTTGGGTAAGAATTAAGGACGAATCATTAAATTATAATAGAAAAGAAGAATGCCCATTTTGGACTCGCATTTCGTTGATAAAACTTTGAAATAAGTAGGAGAAAAATATATAAATTATTAAAAATGCTTAAAACTTACGTGTAAGATCTAAATCTCTGTTTTTGAACGTAACAGGATTTACATTTTAACATTTTATTGTAAGCTTCGTGTACACTAGCCATGATTTCTTCAACGTTGAGATAATTATGAACGTAAGTTACAATATTTTATTGTGACATCGCTCAGTCTTCCTTAATTTGAACTTAACTCTCAACTTTAAAGTTGCCAGAAAATTCAATAAATAATTTTCTACGTCGGAGAAATCATATCCAGTGTAAATGAGACTTCAAATTAAATGTCAAAGTGTAAGCTGTGTTACATTACAAAATAAATGCTAATAACGGATTCATTTTTTTTTAAATATATTTTAAAAAATCATATCTTTTTTGCACCATATTTATCTCATTCGCCTGTCGTAGTCAATCTAAGTAATAATTACTTTTAGTGTGTACCTAACTTATACCTACTACAATATTTAACTCTGCACTACAAAGTAACATTAATCATTATTAACATAAGATCAAAAAAAAATTTTGCTTATATCAACTTTCCCTAGTTAAAAAATATAAATCCAGTATAATTAAAAACAAACGATATTATACTTTAGAAACTATATGGTTATTACAAATGAAATGTCGTCAACGTTTTTTTTCTGATCCAGGGGGTCTACACCCGTCATCGAGAATATAACCAGAAATAGAGACGAAATGTCATTTAATTTGTTTGAAAACTCTTCTGCTATATCATTACGGTGACAACGGCGCTCCGATTGGCCAGCCCAAATTCGAAACAATTGACGAGTGTCGTCAATTGTTTCACTTCAAATCGACCAGTTGCAATATTGCAAAGATTCCGTTTGTTTTGTAATTAGATATTTGCTGTTTTTCCCCACACCACCAAATTAAAGAGGACGCCATTGTTAGAGATATTATCTTTATTACAATAAATACAGAATATTTTTGGAATATACGGACACGTACACACGGGTCAGTCAGTTGTTATCTCCGTCTATATTTCAGTGCAAACGAAAGTTGACACATATACATAAGTAATGAGGGAGGTGGATATCTTCGTTGTAGATCAGACAATCTACGCCGAACGTTATAATGATCTCAGCTTCGCCATCAACTGATGAGTTACCAGCAATTTATAGTCCTTATATTGTTTCTGTTACTGGTTATATACTCGATGACTCTCGTTCTCCGTCCGACATCTGTCCGAAACAGTTACTGTCAAACAAATACATGGTAATACTCGACTTCTTGAATGGTATCATGCGTCTTTTATTCGGTCGAATATTACTCATTTGACAGTAATAATTGTTTCCGACATATGTCGGTCGGAGAACGAGAGTCGTCGAGTAAATATAACCAGAAATAGAGACGAAATAAGGGCCATCATCACTGGCAACTCATCAGGCAAATGTGCCTTATATCACTTTTAAATATCAATTCTTGTTTGCGCTGAAATCAGAAATTAGAAAGCTGAAATAGTACAGTGCCAACAATTGACTGTGTACGTCTCCGCACATTCCAAAAATATTATGTATTTATTGTAATAAGGATGATATCTCTAACTATGGGGCTGTTCCATTCAGAAGTGTGGTAAAAGCAGCAAAACATCTAATTGTAATTAGATGAACCGAATTAAATATTAAATTATGTAATTTTTCATTTGCTGTCCATTATAGCAAAGCTCAAGTGAAACTGGTAAATTTGAAATGAAACAATTGACGACACCCGTCAATTGTTTTGAATCCGGGCTGGCCAATAGTAGCGCAGTTGTAATGATAATAGTAATGATATGGCAGAATAGTTTTCAAATAAATTAAGTGACATTTCGCCTCTATTTCTGGTTATATACTCGATGACGAGAGTACAGGCAGGGCCAGGACTGCATGGAACTTGGGCATTGTTCTTTCTGCAATAGTCAGTTGGTTTCTATGAGGCTACCAAAAACAAAAATGGCACAGACACGGTGATTAAAGCATGTTAAGTCCGATGACCTAGGTTGCCTGGCTTATGTTTGCCCGTTTGATATAGCATAAAAACTGCTTGCAGGTTGCGGGTAGCAACTCGCCTCTGCTGAGGGAGGTGGATATCTTCGTTGTAGATCAGACAATCTGCGCCGAACGTTATAGTGATCTCGACTTCGCCGTCACTGAGGACATGGTGTGCGCTGGCTTTCTAGACGTAGGCGTCCGAGGGCAGTGTCAGGTGAATACTTAAATTGTGTTCATTCAAGTCCATTGCTGACAAATCTGACTAAATATGTCACACTGGCCTATGTGAGCAGTACCTAGTAACGATTATAAAAGCCTTATTAAAAAAAACAGTTGCTCATAATTGTGGTAATTGCCACACTAGGCAATCGAATTTGCAATCGCACAAACTAATACTGTAATGTCGCTGTAAATAGATTTTTTCTTTGTTGATCTAAAACAGAGGACAAACTGTGATCAAATTCAAATAAGACTGAGACGGAAGAAATATTTGTATGGCCTACATTTATTTCTCTCGTGATTTTAGGGGTTATTTGTGGTTGTCTACGTGTGTGTCCATGGCACTGTGATACAGGGTTACCATAGTGCGGGGCTTATAAAATTTTTTAATAATGTGTCCTGTTTTGTGAAAGCGGGAAGTTCCACCTAAGTATTCTGGGGACAGCGGGACTGTCCCGCTAAAAGCGTATGGTAACGTATGGTCACGTTGGTTATGACTAAAATTCATTCAATAGACAGCTGCAAAAATGTTCCTCACAAATAGTTAAGCATCCCATCTGTAACCTTCAAATAAAAAAAAACCGCTTAGAGATAAGTCTATCCGTTTCCTATGATGCCACAGACAGACAGATAGTAAAAGAATCTACTATAATCACAATAAATGATATTAAGAAATTTTAACACAAGGCCAAAATACATCCATGCTTGACAGCCGAGAATAATTTTAATTACGCCAGTGTTAAATTCTCTTTCAGGGCGACAAAGGTAGCCCCTTGGTGGTTGACGGTGTCGTCGTGGGAGTGAAGTCAAGATCCGAAAGTTGCCCCGATCCTACGTACCCCGCGATCAATATGAAAGTAGCGTCGTATACAAGGTGGATCGTTTCAGCAGCCATCGCAGACTAAAAGATCCCACATCTTCAAATACTACAATGAGGAATCATCCCAATTGTCTTTTGCATATATGTTTTTGAAATATTTTTTTAAGAATATTTGTTATTTAGGTCTGCGCCTATCCGTAGAATCCGTTGGTAGGCTTAAAATTCGCGCAGCCAAAAAATAGGCGTAGGCGTCTTTGCTGTCAAAATAACTAATTCAATAATTAAGTACGTTGGCATATTTGTGGTTTTTATAATAAATAGACATTTACTTCACGATTCACAGCATTAATTCGAAACCAAATTTCTATTTGTTTCCATTTCGCACACGGTAGAGACTGAAGAGGCTATCACGCACTACTAGCACTTAAGAGGCGAGACGAAACTAGGTGAAAGGAAACAATTGATGGTGAAGGCTACATCTGCAAAATGACACATTTTCAGGAGAGAGATTTAAGGAGTTTACGAAAAAAATTAGTCGATAATACTTAAATAGGACAGTTATCAAATTTCATATACACACAATTTGTTCCATGTAGTTCGTATTATTTCTATGACTTTGATGTGGTAAAAGCACTTTTGCCGCATGATCACACGTGGCTTCATTTTACCTTATATTACGAAATGATTCTGGCTTTATAAGTAAGTTTAAAATGAAAACTAAGCAGACAATGAACGAACTAAAACTACCAAAACGATGAAAAGAGATTCAGTTATTTTTAAGCAGTCCAGTTATTTTTTATAACTCTTTTTCTTTCCAGCTAAATATGTTTGCGGTCATGTTTTTCTTATTTTAAATAATGTAGTTTCTTGATTTCTATAGATTTTTCCAACGATATCTGTGTACATTGCTTCTATTTTCTTGCAATCATCGGATTTCCGTATGCACACTAATATTAATTTCCATGCCCATTAATTTATTCGATTTAAACTCTATAATAATTTGATTTTTAAACATCGTTCTTTATTGTTGTTTTGTTTGGATTTTCGTGTGATCTATATAGAGATGTAAAACTATTTCCCTATATTTTAATAACATTTACTCCATTACAATAAACAATGAACAAAAGTTTTAAGTAAATAAAGTGTGCTTCTTTTATATATCAAAAAACTAATATTTTTCCTGTTATTAATGAACAATTAACAATTATGTATTGTTCTTTCGTACCTTTTTAGGTGACTGAAAAGAAACTGTTTTATCTTTTTTAACATATTCCTTAAAATATTCTTTATAATCAGAACACGTGTTTGGGCTTTTCCAAAATAACCATTGTTATCTTTCTTAAACTTCTTATTGTAAAAATACAAGTACACACGCAGTAAATTATTTATCATGCCTGTGTTTTTAGCAACTTTATATACTTCCAAGTCGCCTGAACGCGTCCGGTCTGTACCAAAGGCAAAGGGCAACTAAATAAAACCCAACGACAGCCGAAACACGAAGTTTGCCGAGGGACATTGAAAAAATAGAAGTACTGTACTGACTCTTTCCTTTTCTTTCGTTTATAAGTCAATATATCATAATATATACTCATCGCGAGCAGTCAAAACCAAAGAAAGAACGACGTCTGTTTAGATTACCATTATATGCTTTTAACATATCTAATGAAGCAGAACATTGTATATTTTGTATACCTGTAATTGCGCCTATTACGCAGATATGAAATAAAGAAACCTGCTTTTTTGGCATGACACGAAGTAAAATTAGCTTTCAATATATTAAGGCGAGGTATTTGAACGCGAGCCTAGATTTCAGGAGGTGAGGTGTGGGGGGTCGCTTCTCGCGTTCCGCAAATTATTAATAAGATAAGAACAGGCGGAGAAAATTTGACACAGTTCCGACGTCGACAAGCGACTAACGGCGACAGTTGGGGCAGATGACGGCGCGGCGTATCGTTAGTCACCTCGAAACTCCCACCCTACGGGAAGAACGTATGGCAGAAAAAAAATGACTGCACTGTGGACACAGCGGCACTATCACGTCGGGATTACCAATTTGGGAAATGCCGGGGTAAAACGAAAGGAAACGAGTTGGATACGTTTGACAGCTCTTATATTGCCCAGATATTACACTGCACTTCATCTATTGGTAATGTTCACAGTAGTGGTTAATTTTATATGCCTCTCTGACGTGGCGCACGGTACTTCAGAGAGTGAGCTTTATGAATGGTTCCCGACTATTGTCGGAAACGTGAATGACATTTAGGGCTGCGCCTACAATCTTAATAAATATGAATATATAACCAATAAAGCTTTAGTTGGAAACCAAAATTTAGCAGGTTATCTGTAGTATCTAAAGAGAAACATCTCCATATAAACATTATAAACAAAGGTAAATATTTTTATTCTTAAATAATTCGTTTCAGACTTTTATTTCAGGCTGTTTTCAGGATTTTATATGATCGGATAAAGTACATCCTATCCTATACAAATTAGCACATTCTTTGGACAATATCCTTAAATGCATCGTATATTTTTTGTAAGACCGTTATTCAATAGTAAATACCTAAAGTATTTGGTCTAGCAAAACAGCTTTTCTCGCTTCTTCTTCTTTCACTCGCCTTATGACACTAGTTAAATAAAGCGATAAAGCCTTCCTGTAACACGTACTTTATTACCTGTTACTTTGTATACAGACGTGCATTATCATCGTACAGTTATGAACAAAAGTTCGTAAAAACCGTAGCCGTATAGAGTTGAATGTAAACCTTAACCCTTTCACGGACAGTACTTAAATGGTACCGCACAGAAATATTATTTGTCGTACCTAGTGCTAGCGCTTATATTGATTCAATATAAAATGTTCACTGTATTAGGGATGCACATTACGATTAGACTTTTGTGAAGATCGATTGATCGATTGCATACGATCTAGCGATGTTTTTTATTGAATCGTTTCAATGCGATTTTTAAGCGAATCGAATTAATGCGAATCGAATCGTCTAGAACGTATTCATAATTTAAACAAAAATCTCATCTTGTTACTGATTTCGGCAAGTACAGAAACGGAAAATATAGACAATGAAATGAAAAAAACATTAAGTTATATGACATTATTATTGAAAAGTTTAGTTAGATGTAAAGGATTGGCATCTGTGAAAAGCAAAAACAATAATATTTACATATTATTATTATGGCAATTAAAGAATGCAATAAAGGTGTTTTATTTATTACAAATTTTCAAACGATTTTTACAAAATCAATTCAAAAGTATACGATCCGATACGTAGATCGATTCAGAGGCATATGATCCATTACGATTCAAAACAAAATACGGTCATCTCTAAAATGTTGTAAATCAATGAATTTTGTTAGTACGTTGTTGATGGGTACTTATCTATGGAAAAGCAGTAGGGGGCAACGCAGAAAGCACTTGGCAATCAAACTGTAAAGCTCGTAGTTGGTTTTTTGAGATCTATATAGCAAAACGAGGCACCCCTATATTCTAATATTTAAATTTACGCTAAACGCTATGCTGTTACTGTCCATGAACGTATTGAGGATCTGCGCAAACTGGCGGTCGGCGATGGAGAGCATCAAAGATAATTTTATGCCCGGTAGCGCACGCTGGTGGGGGATATCTCTTTTCGTAGCAATAGAGCTCCTTGTGAAAGAGTTGTTCAGGGAAGTACCGCCACTGTAAACAGTGATAACTCTGTGTGGCATGATGCAAAACGTACCAGCGGGGGTGGGGGTCATCGGGGACGCTTGCACAGATCTAAAAGGTGTCAAATATTACTGGAAACATTTATTTTTGGTAAAGTCATCATCATTTATTTGTCTTGTAAAAAGTAACGGAGCAAAAGTTGTTACTTATGATGTTAGTTATAAAGTTCTGCGAGATGCTTAATGTTTTTACAAATACCCTATATAGTGAAAGAGGTCAATATTTTTTACTTTATCCCACCACCCCCACCTTGCGCTTTGACCTTGCGCTGAACGCTTCCAGCAGATTTCCACAAGTTTATGGTAGCCGTAGAATTCCTTGTGAAGAGTTTGTCCAGGGAAGTACTGCCACCTTACCTATTTCTGCCGCCAAGCGGTAATGTGAGCATTACTGCATTCCGGTTTTGAAGGGTAAGGGTGCTGGTGAAATTACAGGCACATGGGACTTGTCAACTTATGTCTCAAGATGACGGGCGCAGTGGCAGTGCTCCTCAGATCTTTGCGATTTAAAGCTCTGAGTGGCATTTCAACTGTTATGGATAGACGTGTCGCTTACCACCAGGCGCACGACTTGCTCGTCCTGTCGCCTGATGTTATAAAAAAATGATATCAAGATATCATTGGAATGCCGCGGCATTCGCCGGCATGCCACCGTTCGCTCGGAATTGATTCCGTTCTACTAGCGACTACGCAGTCGAAACGGGCAGATTCCAGCCGCACGCTGTAGAACTCCGGTTCATACCAGTGTGGAGTCCGTCGTGTACCGGCGCGGTATTCTCTAGCATGCTTTTCAATGCCGCAGACAGACATGCCCAGCAATGCTCAAAGGTCGGCCTCAGAGCATTGAAATGTATACCTTATTTCAATTGAAATAGCATAAAATATACATTGATAAATTTTATGTCCTCTACCTTCTTGTCCTTCGATTGGCTCTGGCTTTAAGTGTTAAGTTGCACCAATTGTTGACCTTCTACTTACCGTGCAGGCCGCGAGAGATTACAAAACACTATACAATTACAAAAACAGTTCATAATATGTGTGACTAAAACCCAATATTCTGTAAATTATGTATTTTAACTATGTTAGCTATTAAATATTCCACCATAACTAATTTACTTTGCATTTTAGTAGAAACGAAAAACGATTACAAAAGGTATTGTTTGTTAGTTATTTAAGTTTGTTTATTTTGTAATTCAAAACAATATAACTAGCAAAAAATACCTACACATTTTATAAAAAATAAAAATTATTAGTGTTTTAAAACTTATTAGTCTTATCACCAGTTCAAAAATCATAAAATAATATTTCATTTAATTACCTTGTTCTATTTAAAAACAAAATCCTGTATTTTAATTGATAAGCAAATTTCACCTAGAAATCGAAACTCATTATACTCTACAACGACAGATTCCGATAAAAACGTGGATGAAAATCATAAGGGTTAGGTACTCGTAAGTTTCGTATACTCCAGCACCTATTTTTCACGAATTTGTGACATAAACATAACAATAACAATTGTTACCAGGAAACTACTAAAATAATTAGTCAATTCACAAGAAACTGATTTACCTATTAATTAAGTGTAATTTTAAATCGGCAGAGTTTCGGTCTCGATGTAAGCCGAACGTATGACGTATAGGCACTAGGTTCATACAACTCTGAAGTACCGGGTGTGTTTTCGCTATCAGTCGCGGACGAGGCTCGGAGACATGTACACAAGTGTTTTTCTGATAGTTTCAGTGCATTCGATAGTAGCGCTCTCTGTCCACCGAATTGCCGAAGAACCTATATGTAAGTGACTTTATCGATTGATTTGATCGACTCGCTCTGGCGACTGAGTTAATCGAAATACCGTTGTGTTGAATACGATAAACTAGCAATATATTATATTTTGATAAACTCAAGGAAAGTCAATACCTATTTAATATGTAGGTATATAAGTAAAGTTATTATAACAATGGATGGGAGTAAAATATTTAGTAGGTTATCTGTAGCGTGTTTGGTGTATAATGTTGACTTTATTGTGTAATCATGATGTTTAAATAGAAAATTGATAAAAATGGTTACAAAATTTATCGTGATATTTACGGGCGCACATAGAATGACACCTGACTAACAATTTAGTACACAGGAAATAATTTTGTTGTAATCATTATTTCGCTCAAGGTTACATTTCTGTACCTTCGAAAGACAGTTGTCACAGATACACCCAAATAGATATTTCTATTCTAACCCTGACTGTTACGCGTCGGCATCTACCATTGCCTCCCATTAACACGTCCTACGTGCATTCCTTAGAAACAATGCTTCGTAGACGCGTAGTTTTGATCGGTATTTCCTATTGCGTATACGCGAGTTATAGAATAAATTGCTTGTGTGGTTTTTAGGGTCATACTAACACTATGAAAAGCATTTTTTTCGGGTCGACATTTAAGGCTTCCTCGGCGCCAAAAATGTGCCTATATGTAGATCTCTCTCATTCAAGATCCGTAAATTACAACACATAGTATAACAATGTTAGTCACTGTGCCGACACTCAAGAGATCATAGGACAAGAAATGTGTTGAGAAGAGCAAAAGGCGGCGCGAGGATGGTTTGATTTTCATTCAAATAATACGATTAATACGCCACGTGTATTGATCTGATATTATAGTTGTAGTTTTCTAATTATTATTGAAAATGGTATTTACAAGATTACTTTAAGTCTGAACCGAGTGTGAATAGTTTTTACATAATTAAAGGAGAGTCAAGACACGATTTTCGATATTAGATTTCATTCGATATTAGTTTTTATGTCCCATTCACGACCCATTCACGAAATGTCAAAGATATGGAACTTTTATATAACCCGCTCTTCCTTTTAAACTTGTTTGTCATGTTTCAGCAAAATCGAGAATAGAACTAAATTCTTTGGAAATCAAATGCAGTTTGGGTGATATCCTAATATTAAAGGCTCCGATCATCTTAAATAACAATGTCAAATACTACCTGTACAATCCCAGAGGTGACTTCAGCAAACTCGATATAAAAAGAAACAAGTACACACCGAATGCAATGAATTTTCCGCCCGACTATGGATTGTCTATTAAAAATATTAGAAAAAAAGCGCCGATTGTAACATCTATGAGAATGTATAATTTATTCAATATGTATAATCTTATAGTCTTTGATGACAAACACGAAGTCGACCTGTTTAAGAGAAATCTACTATTGATGGGTCCGAACGAATTCATGTTGGGCCCTCTGAGTGAAAACGATTTTGGCAACTGGGCGATAAGTGCTTATTACCAAGACGACACAGGTGAATGGACAGAGGTATTTCAATCTTTTGCCCTATTGATTATAGGTAAGTTCACTCTGGTAATGATGGTAAAAGTTATAAAGGCTCACAAGCTACATTGGGGTTCTTGCTATGTTACAAAATTTAAAAGAATAAAATTTCTTGTAGAACTCGAACATTGATGTCAATGGCAAATTCCAAAAGTAACTTGAGTGCTTTTTTTTTTTACATTATATGTAGAGCCCGAAGGATTGTTGACAACACGATAGCACGATATCGTACTGATATCGATATCGTATCTACAACAACAGATTGTAGATACTAAGCTATACTCACAAAATTAAACAAATACATTTTTTACCTGTCCCTTGATCGGAATACGAACCTGGGAATAAATGGGTCTTTGGCAGATTTCGAATCCAAATCTGCACATAAACATCGATAGAACACATCGGGAGGAATCTATGAACTCCTTGTTGAACTATCGTACCTGCAAGGGGTTGAACAGCGAATCCTATTTCAGAAGTAGTACCTCCCGCGGAAAAGCTGGAAGTGGTGAAAGTAGGAAGCTCTTTCAAGCCCATGTTCCTGTACACCTTTCCCAATCTCAACAGTTGCGAACTTTTGATGCCTGAGGCCAGTATCACCAGGCCGAATACCATCATCCTGCAGGACCTCGACCGATGTAGTTACCTCGTCAGAAACGTTACCATTGACGACCAAGGCATTTGGAGAATCATAGGTGTAGGCCCCATTATGTATGAAACGGCTATGGAACTAGAAGTTACTAGTTAATATTAAGGTCGATTATTTTCGGATCGTGCAATTTTGCAGTTAAAATCCTTGCATAATTTCCTTAATGAGATGCACACAGTCACACTCGTAAGCGCATGTCGTCGGGTATAGTGCAATTATGTGTAACCAACATTGGATAATTCCGCGTATCTGTCAAAATGTTGTTAATTTGAGTTTTTTCGCCAGTGCTTGTATAGTGTGTTCCAATCGATTTTGAACAAAAAGTAAACAAATCTGTTTGGTTAAAATTCTAAAGCAATCACTCAAGAAATCGAATAAGTAACACTCACGTGTATTTCGACTTGATATATCATCACTTCTTCCAACAATATTCATTTGAATAGCATAGTAAAATCGTATTTGAAAAATGGTAGTCCAAAAGTGAGGTTATTATTCATCTATACTTCTATGACTTGCGCCCTATGGTTCCATAGTGCTGTTCGAAAAAAAAAAACATTCGGTTCAATCAATTAAGGTTTAGGAATCGATTATCAAATCGAACATTTCAGTCGCAATCGAACGAGTATCTAAGTGTAAGGATTTGAAGGAGGATTTAAATTTAAATTTTAAATTTGTCTATATAGGTTATATAAGGAAAACCGCTAGTATGACTCAATTGAACAAATCGATTCATTCAATTAATTAATCGATTTTTATTTGGCGTTACAATTGGCCGGGTCAGTGACTTGTTTGTTTACTTTTTTGTTCAAAATGGATCGAAACGAAGTACAGTCATTTGATTGCGACCCGCTTACGGTACGTTCGTTTTTTAACCGATTTCAAAAAAGGAGGAGGTTCTCAATTCGACTCTATGTCTTCTTTTTGTATGTTATTTATTTAAGTATGTTATGTATGTTACGCGATATATTTGGCATTTGTGAACCGATTTTGATGACTTTGTGGAAAAGAGGATACCTCAGAAGTGGTTCCATTTAAATTTGAAGAAAATATTCCACCTCTAAGGGTGGCAAACTAGGCGATGAATGACTTGTCCATTTGTCTTCATTTGTCATTTGACCAGATTTTTCGGTTTAGTATAATCTCAGTACAGAGTACTAAAAAACCGACCTCAAAAGTACGTGGAACTACATTTAATTACCAAGTTTTATTGAAATCGGTTACCGGAAAGTGCGCAAACCCGGATTCATCCCCTAATTCGCCACAATGGGACTTGACACAGGAGATAATAAGAATCGGTTCTCACTACTCAAAGTATATTGAGAGAGAAAAACGCCTTGAATTGGAGAATAGCAAAATCAATCATTCAAATAATTGCTCCTTATAATAAAATTTGGGCGCTATTTATAAAAGTGAGCCTTCATGCGTGAATAGCCACTCTTAGAGGAGGATGTTTTTCTTCAAAATTAAATGGGACCACTATGGAGGTACCCTTTTTCCAACAAAAAAGAGTCATGAAAATCGGTTCACAAATACCGGAGTTATCGCGTAACATAGAGAACCTCCTCCTTTTTTTAAAGTCGGTTAAAAATAAATTTCTTTCTGCTTAACTTTCGAGTTATAACATGTCACTGTCATAATTACACTAAAATCAATAACCGTTTAGTTGGAATAACTTTATTAAATAAAAACAAAAATAAAAATAAAAATAAATTGCTGCCTCTTTACTTGTATTACTTATATTTTGTAATTATGATTAAAATATTTGCCTTGTGTCATTGTATGATTTGAATACCTTGGAATTTGTGGTATCAGGGGGTCTACTCTCGATCTCCGTCCGAAATCCGTCCGAAACAATTACTGTCAAATAAGTAATATTCGACAAAATTAAAAGACAAGTATCAAGTATGAAGCTTCATTCGCATCACGCGTCTTTTCATTTGGTCGAGTATTGCTTATTTGGCAGTAATTGTTTCGGACGGATGTCGGACGGAGATCGAGAGTAGACCCCCAGTTCCCATTTCGGTAAGTTAGTGGCCAAATCAAATCCGCGCAAATATAATTTCATGTGCAACATACATTATGCTTACTGTGCTTATGCAAAAATGTAAGTCACAGGAAGTGTAATGCAGACACGCGCCCTTTACCAATGTAATGTTATATCTATATGTATAAGAAGTGCAACACAGTCCATACTTTAGAATTTAGAAGATGTTTTCACAAACATTGTTTTAGTATGCTAAAAAATTACGCAATGGTAAAACACATTTTTTTATAATACCAAGTGAAGGGACGAACAAGTTGTGCGCCTGGTGGTAAACGACACGCCTATCCATAACAGTTGCAGTGCCATTCAGGGCTTTAAATCGCAAAGTGTTATGAGTACTGCCACTGCGCCCGTTATCCTGAGACATAAGTAGACAAATCCCATGTGCCCGTAATTTCATCAGCACTACCTTTCTAAACCGGAACGCAGTAATTCTGCCGTCCACTAAGTAATGGTTAAACATTCGTTTTAAATAGCAAAACAGTGCACAAAATTCTCTTTTAAAAATTGTTTAAATTAGTTAACCGTACCCTAACGTTGCATAGCTGAAATATCATTGACAATTTGTATATTTTAAAGCTGGGTTATGGTTTTTTATGATATCGTAAAAAAACATTTTGTCATTTAGCCACGCTTTAGTTATCGGACGACAGTGCTCCTATTACTGCTTGGCGGCAGAAATAGGTAAGGTGGCATTAAGTCCCACCGTCGTTTGTTTTTTATTCAACCTAAGTCATCGAGTATATAACCAGAAATAGAGGCGAAATGTCAATTAATTTGTTTGAAACTATTCTGCCATATCATTACTGTGACAACTGCGCTCCGATTGGCTAGCCCGAATTCGAAACAATTGACGGGTGTCGTCAACTGTTTCACTTCAAATCGACCAGTTAAATTTGTAAAATTACATATTTAATATTTAATTACCGATGAAATTTGATTTCGTTTGTAATTAGATGTTTTGCTGTTTTTCCCACACCGAATAGAACAGCACGGCATTGTTACAGATATTATCTTTATTACAATAAATACAGAATATTTTTTGAATATACGGAGACGTACACACAGGCCAGTTAGTTGACCTGTATATATTTCAGTGCAAACGAGAGTTGATATTTATAAGAGCTGTATCGCTAGTGTGTTGCCAGGAATATATGGCCCTTATTTCGTCTCTATTTCTGGTTATATACTCGATGACCTAAGTATTTAATTTGACCTTAAGGTTGATTATAAATGCCGAATTAAGAACACCGTTCTCTTTAAAATGCTCTGTGGTATAAATTTCTATTTGCCATTTAAGGTTCTTTATCTCTCACCTACAGATGTATGTAAAGGCTTTACACTATCCCCGACGACATTTTATTACAATATTATACATAGGTACTTGCGCCGAAGACATTGTGTACATTTTTTCTTTTACTCGTGAGAATCTCTTTATGCGCCGACCGAGCACGGCGTTGTAAAGGTGCTTGTCCACCGGCGAGGCAAGAAGAGAATTGAAAACACGCTGGCCTAATTCTGCCAAAAATTGGCATTAACAGCAAATGCGATCTCGCGATTGGTATTAATAGCCACCGCGAGCTCGGGGATAGTAAAATAAAAATATTGAAATACCAGTACAGAAATTGTTAATTGGTAGACAAATCTAAGAATTTCGACTGCAGTTTCGACGGCGCCCTGCAATTATTTGAAGAAAGCCATCTTTTTAAAAATCTTAAATCGTACCATACCCCACGATCCCACGATTGATATTAACAAACATCGCAAACTCGCGGGGCCCGCGCGAGCATGCACGTGGCTTCGCGTACATCGTGTTCCGGTACAGTGTTCATAAACACTATGTTGGCAGCTACGGTTTACTAAACCGTTTACACCAACAAATATTTCAATTCTCGTTTCGTAGTTCCTCGTCAATCCAAACTATTCGCACCGAAGGTGCCCTAGGAAGACAATTGAAATTTTGCCATACAAATTTCAATCCTCGTCTTATCTTGCCTCGCCGGTGATAAAGCACCTTTACTGTGGTTTCCATACAAGTTGTTATTTGTTTACTGCGCGTGTTGTGGAAAACTCTTACCTTGCTGCATTACACGCGGTGTATTGATCGCGTTAGAAATATGTATAAAGAAGAACAAAGAATTTGATAATTTGTACCAATTATCTTACATTTGTACGCAATCTTTGACTTTGTAGAACTTTGAACTAATATAGAAAACCTTCGAGCTCGATGTAGAGAACCAACAGATTGTTACTTAAATTATAATACCGATGTATTATAGTTATAGATTTAGTCAATGTTTCTGTTATACGTATTTGAAAAGCAAGAACTGTTTTTGTGTTTTAACGCACGAGAAATATCTATCAACAGCGATCTTATTTAGGTAACGTCAGCTTGATATTTGAGACATTCAATGTCCTAGCATAGTTTATTAACGGCTTCAAGTCTAAGGTCTGGATTAAGAGAAATTCACTCTTTCAAATATCACTCGATAAAAAAATGTGCTCGAAAGATTTGAAAATGTACAATATTATATTATTAAGATTTTTCTATCGTGAATAGCGATAACTTAAGCTGACATATTGCACTTTTCAGAAGTGTTACACAACGATGTCATCGTGATACAGGAAGGAGGCACTTTCGAGCCTATGTTCCCTCACAGCATCAGCAGTTTATCAAGCTGTGAACTGGTTGTGCCCAAGGTCGCTGTCGACAGGTTTTATACAACGAGCCCAGCACACGCGGACAGATGTGGTTACGTAGTACATAATGTGTCCAGACACGAAAGGGGGCAATGGCAAATAATAGGTATAGGCAACATTATATACGAAACTACAATCAATTTAAAAGTAATTTATTGACAAGAAAAAGAATTGTATGGGAAAACGAGGGACTATACTTGTTAAATACTAACCATTTCCCAGGACTATATTACTATCATTGTAAACAACAACTTCTGTTCCACGTCTAAAAATATACTTTTAAGTTTTTGTTGTACCATCTGACACGTTTTAGATCTGTATCTAGTAGTTAGGTGGCAAGTTCAAACGTGGTGGCGTCCTCCTCCTCCCAAAATAACCCCCTCCACCCCAATAACCCCTACTCCCGCTACTGTTTTGCATCGGACTGTTGTTTACGCTAGCGCTTTCCACCGTTACCGCACAGAGTTATCCACGTTTCGAGGAGGGTTTCTTAACCTTTTTCCAGTCATGGACCCCTCTCAAAATTTCAAAGAACCCACTGACCCTTTCCGAAAAGATGAAGAAGAAAGGCTCGCAGGTTGCATTGACGCGTGTCACCCTCGCTTTAATAAAGGATGGCCATCGGAAGGGTGTGAAAATTCATTCACGGGTACAGTACCTATTTTGTATACCAATTTTTATATTAATGCATTATGTTAGGTAGGTTCGCTATGGAGCCCCGGCTTTGATTACACGGACCCTTCAGGGGTCCATGGACCACAGGTTAAGATAACCGGATTTAGAGCGATTTATTTTAATATTTTTATTTTTGTACAAAAGTAAGGCTGATTACACATGGCGCCGCCGCGGGCTCGCACGAGTTGCGGCATCATACCGCAGCACTAGCGGCACGACAGCAGCCCATGCGGCGCGGCGTGATCAACTGAAATCGGATTAGCAGACAATTGTCGCCGCCGTTTCAAGTAACGCCGCCACCGCGGTGCGTGTATGAAAGTTTGTAAACAAATGCAAGGGCGACAACAACTGCGGCGCCGCTGTTGTTCCGGCGCTGTGTGTAATCAGCCTAAAATCTGATGGATGATCGGTTAATGAGACAAGGAACAAAAGTTATTGTTTAAGGCACTTGACAGACAGACTGCATTTCAAACGCACTCCGACTGCAATTTTGCAGTGTTAATGCACTTGATCTAACTGTATTTGAATTGCATTCAACCGTTTCGTTGGAACTGCACGCCAACTGCATTTGAACTGCATTGAAACGACTAATTTGCAGCCACAGTGAAGTTGAAATACAGTCTGTCTGTCAGGAGACAAGAGAGTAAGATGTTAGTAATATATTCCTGTGAGGTTAGTTAGTTTTTAACAAATAATCCTGAATGATGAGGGGCGCGCGGACAGTACAAGCTGCAGTAGCCCACAGACCACGTGATTTCAATGTTTGGACGCTCGACTTCTTACCATTTCTCCATACGACCATCACAACTGTGTCCCATTGGGATTATGAATCTCCATCCGCAATGTTCCTGTTTCCGTTTCCGTTTCGCTTCTCCTACTCGAGTCAGTCTTTCATGCTCTTCATTTATTCTTAGTATATTTGAATCGTCGAAGTATTCCCTTTTCTATCCTATAAAAGTAGGTTTTTTTCTTTACTGATTCTCGAATTCTAAATATGGAAATGAAACCTATCTTTCGGTACTAAATCGCATACCTACATTTATTTTTTTCTAACAAACCAACGTTTTGGGCCCTTAACAGCTCCTATGGTGATATTACAGAGAGATGACTAAGTAAAGTCATCAACGAGTTCAAGAACAATATCTTATTTTTAATTTACTAAAAATGTTCTTAAAAAGAACGGTATTTAAATTAATAACTTTTGTAACTATAATGAAATATGCGGTACTTTGTATTAATATTAGATAGACATAACTATAACTAGTCCATCAATGCTGTTGCCATCGGTTACCAGGTCATCTGTCTATCTGGTAGGGGTTCGTGGTCTCCATTCGAAACCCTTTCCGCCCCAACAGTCGTCAGTTCTACGAGTTATGTGCCCTGCCCATTGCGACTTAACTTGCTAATCCTTTAAGCTATGTCGGTGATTTTAGTTCTCCTACGGATCTTCTCATTTCTGATTCGATCACGTAGAGACATGCCATGCATTGCTCGCTCCATAACTCGTTGAGTGAGTTTGGGCTTTTTGAAATCCATAGTACGTGACCACTCATCCACCCACTCATACATCCACTCACCCATCGCTGGCAACACGCACTGCTCGAAGACTTTTGTCTTCAAGGACAGCGGTATTCCGGGTAAGAAGAGGTCTCGGAGCTTCCTCGGAGTCGGATTTGACGAACAAACATGTATATATTGTTAATCATGAAACATTTTTAGTGTTTACTTTTAAACACTGAAACGACGTAGAAGACACAGAGCGGTCAGACCACTACAAGATAGACCAACGACCTACCGAAAGTTTTTATTTATAACATCAAGTGATGGGACGAACATTTCGTGGGCCTTGTGGTAAACTACACGCCTGTCCATAACAGTTACAGTACCACTCAAGGCTTTAAATTGCAAAGATCTGAGGGGCACTACCACTGCGCCCGTCACCCTGAGACAAAAGTTGACAAGTCCCATGTGCCTGTAATTTCACCAGCACCCTTACTCTTCAAAACCGGAACACAGTAATGCTGACATTAATGCTTGCAACATGGTGACCTGTTGATGACTTTTATATCTCAGGCAGCCGTGACCATGGAGCCTGTAAAGGGTCCCAAACCTTGATTTGTTTGAAAAAACAATGATACCTACGTGATTTAGATCCGTAAAATAGTTTTATTTCGTAAGTGTAACACTTGTGTAACAACCAGTAAACCTAGTATCAAGTTCATAATAAATAGTAAAATTGGTGTTCCAAGGATTTTTGGTATTAAATGAACAACAATACAGGAGTTGACATTGGAAAAGATAAATAATTTCGTTGCACGATTTCACTTATCAATGTTTTCTACGTTCAATTTGCAATTAATTATAACGTAGGTAGATTTTTTACTTGGTAAGTTCGCGCCAAATTAAAGATAATGGCCGCTGACGCGTGCCATCACGATAGAAAAATAAATATTAAAATCTTACACAAGCCATTCTTGTATTAAACTTAAATGTAGTTTTAATTTTGAGACTGTAAGTGCCAAAATATGTTAATGATATCTGTGTAAATTATTACAAGTAAAATGCTAACTATCTCGCAGGACTATACTACTAACAATGAGTATATAACCAGAAATAGAGAATAAAAAACTATTCTGCCAAATCATTACGGTGACAACTGCGCTCCTATTGGCTAGCTCGAATTTGAAGCAATTGACTGACGGGTGAAGTCAATTGTTTCACTTCAAAGCGACAGTTTAATTTGGGCTTTGCTATAATGGACCAAAATTGAAAAATTACATACTTTATATTTAATTACCGATGAAATGTGATTCAGTTTGTTTCGTAATTAGATGTTTTGGTGTTTTTCCCACATCACAGAATGGAACAGCCCCCATTATTAGATGTTATCTTTATTTTCTTTATTATAATAAATAGATAATATTTTTGGAATATACGGAGACGTACACACAGGTCAGTTGTTGGCGCTGTACTATTTCAGCTTTCTAATTAGTGATTTCAGCGCAAACGAGAGTTGATATTTCAAAGTGATATAAGGCCGTTTGCCTGATGAGTTGCCAAGGTTGGATGGCCCTTGTTTCGTCTCTATTTCTGGTTATATACTCGATGACTACTAACAGCGTAAGCAACAACTTGTGTTCTGTGAATTTTTGCAAAATGTAATTTTACCAAAAATAAACTTTTAATTTTTTTTTTAGATCTATCTGTATTTGGTAAAAAGTTGTATAAGAACAAGCAACGCCTTTCGCATGCTATCATTCTTAAAGATAATTTTTATTTTGGTGGTCGGTGCTTTCTTTTACTACCCCAGTTAGCAGAAGTCAGCAATAGAGTTATACCGTTTAGAGTGATCTATTTAAATGTCAAGACTGTAGACAAAATCTGATGAATTATTAAGTCATGGAACAAAAATTGTGGTTTATGGTTTTAGCAGTATAGTCCTGTGAGGTTTTTAATATTTCACAAATAACCCTGTATAAAATGTATATTTAAAATTGATGATCACAAAACAGGGTTTCTGCTTCAATGTTCACTGGAGAACGCGTAGCACAATACAGCTGTTAATATATTAAAAGGTATTGCTCAATATCTATTGATAACCGATGTAGTTTTAACATAATGAGGTTAGTTATTTTGACCCTGTTAGTATACAATGCTAGTACAAATACGTAAAATGTGTTTTCACCTCTCTAGTTCGGAAAGACTTTCTTTCTCATTAGAAATCTGCGCGCAAAATCGTTTTTTGCACGTTAGCGTGGAAAAGGTTTTGGAAATTCGAACTTGACGATGGACTTTTTCTTTCGATGAAAAAAAAGAAAGATAATTTCACGTTCAACTAGGCGATTTGTCGTACATTACTTATTTATGTAATAAATCCGTTTGTATATTTTATACTTATTATTGTTGACATTAAATTGACAATGAAACTTATTGTGTATATAATTATTTCAATTCGTCGAAGAACTAAAATAATCTCAATAATTACTTAATCACACAAGTATAAGTCCAGTGCAAACAACTCGAGTCGTTTAAGTCGTTCAAGTCGCGTTTAAGTCGTATAAGTCGATTAAGTCTTTTAGTATAACGACTGAGTCTTATTAATAAAAACTCGAACCTCCAGTCTTAATTTTAGAGTAAGGTCCTGTAAAATGGAGTCGAGTCGTTATAAAACGCTTAAAGACTTAGGGTCGTATTCCAGAAGTCTACTCAATACTCAAGTCAGGACTTGAGTATTGCAGTGAGCACTGAAAATCATACTCACGTCTTTGTCATTAGGGTCGTATTTCCAGTGCTTGAAATCGTACTCAAGTCTGCTCAAATCCTGACTTGAGCATTGAGTAGAGTTCTGGAATACGACCCTGAGTCTCTTTCATCGCTATTTATAGTTCAACAATTTTTCTTTAATTTACCATTTTCCTCGCTATAGTGAGGTGAAACGTTGTGTGTTTCGCTCGGTATCAAAGTTGTTTTGCGTTTCGTGTCTTGAAACCCACGCTACGTTCTGGAACCTATGCTTGAACCAGCTTCCTTCGCTTGTTCAGGTTTCAATACAAGCACTCGCCTCAAACAACAACTTTGCAGCCATAGGGCGCGTTCCCACTATGTCGTGACGACAGATAGTCGTGCTGTTTATAGTGTCGTAGCTTATACATAGGGCGCACTACAAGTTTCCGGAACTAGCCACTTACATAAACAATATTTAAAAAGTAATTACAACATTTGAAAATGGAACTATTTAGCTGTAGAAAACAGTTTGTTTCATCTGACTATCGCTTGTTTTTACATTGTGGCGTCATTTTAAAAATTGGTTGTCTACATCACCATGAATTTAACTCATGAAAATTTTCGTAGTATGATTTTCTACGAGTTTAAGTGTAATAAAATAAATAAGTATATATAAAAAATATATAGCAGTAAATAACTGCTTTTGGCAATGAAGCACCATGCAAGACGACTATTTACAGCTGGTTTGCAGAATTCAAACGCGGTCGTGTGAATTTCAGTGACGAATTTCGTGATGATCGCCAGTCCACTGCTGTGAACAACAAAAACATCCATGCTGTGCGCCGTATGATCGAAACAGACAGGCAAGTGACATACCATGAGATTTGGGCATCTTTAGGCATAGGCATGAGTCAAATACAATCAATACTATACAAATATTTTGGGTGTGAAAAAGCTGTGCTCTCGGTGAATCCCACACAAATTGACTGAGGCTCACAAAACGGATAGCGTCACTTGTTGCAATGCCATACTTACCAGATTCAATGAAGGGGCGTCAAATTTGGTGTGGGACATAGTAACAGTTGACGAAACATGGATTTATAGCTACGAAACCAAAACAAAGCAGCAATTGAGCATATGAGTCTTTCGAGATGAGCCGAAACCAACCAAAGTGGCGCGCGTGCTATGACGAATTGACCTCCTTACACCGTCATCTCACCTCTTTGTATCGCCTCTCTCCGCTTGTATCCTATCATTTTTTTTATTTTTTACATGTATTTAAATTTTAAATTTGAAATGTTCCATCTTCCTTCACTTTCTCATTTTGTTTTCGTACCACGGTCACTCCCAGCTCGACTGCCACAACAGTCGGAGCTGTTAATAAGCTAATCATGTGTAACAATTTATAAGTCCACAGCCTTCATGTATGTAATTCAGTTTCTCGGCCCATTTAGGGGTAAGTGCTTTATAATAAAGTGTAGGGAGTGTTTTATACTGTTATACCTGTTTCTTTTACATTTACCTTTATATTGTTACAGTCTTTCTTTAAACTTTACTTTTTTAATAAATTTTGTGGACCGGAAGTTTCCTATTTCATTGCCGTGAACCCGTTCACGGCTAGTTAGGGTTACAACCCTTTCAGTGCAAAGTGCCTCTAAGCGGATGATTGCTTCTTTTTTAAATAAAACTGGACACGTGGCTACTGTTGCTTTGGAGAATCGTTGTACCGTGAATAGTGATTGGTACACGACCATTCGTTTGCCGGAAGTTATTGACAAACTCCGTAAAAATAACTGTAACGCCGTATCATTTTACACCATGATAATGCCTATTCTCACACGGCCAGACAGACAAATGAATTTTTGAAGGTGAACAACGTTGACCTTATGAGCCACCACGCGTACAGTCCCGACCTGGCACTGGTGACTTTTATTTATTTCCAAAAATGAAGAACCAGTTACGCGGTCAACGATTTTCATCACCTGAAGAGGCTATCGAAGAGTATGAAAAATATGTTTCCGAGATTGTCACGGAGGAGTGGCATAAATGTTTTCAAAATTGGTTCATTCGTACGCAAAAGTGCATTAACGCTAACAGAGAATATTTTAAGAAACAATAAATTCATTTCTGACCATTTATAGTATTTTTTTCTTATTCGTTCCGGAAACTTATAGTGCGTCTCATGTAGTTACCAAATTCACATTTATTTTATCCCCAAAACTTGAAAACTGCCCAGCGGTTTAACAACACGCCGCGCGCCGCACCTCTCACTGAACCGTCAGCCGCCATCGGGCGCTTTTCAACGTCGGTTCTTATCCAATTTTTATTAATATTTATATATATATATATATTATATATTTATTTTTATTAATCATATTAATTTTTTGCGCGTGGTATGCGGGACGCGTGGGCGGCCCCCTCACACCCCACTTCTTAAAATCTAGCTAGACTCGCGTTGAAATTCCTTGTCAAATTTAGCAACACGGTGATGGGTTGAATTAGCTTACCTCACTCATCTCTGGTGCAGTTAACTGAATATATAAATGACATTAATTAAAAAAATATGGTTTTGAACATAGTATTTATTTACAATCTCCTCTTACATATAAATACTTAAATAACGAATGAAACTTTAAGTAAACAGGATTCAATACAAATAATAATAATAATAATACTCTAATAATATTTAATATAATAATAATAAAACGCACACACTCAAGGGAAACTCTGTATGGTACCAAGGCACCCGCGGACACGCACATAGACAACCACAAATTACACCCAAACTTTGGAGAAAAATAAATGTAGGCCACATAAATATTTCTCCGACCTCTACGTGGCAGTCCGTTACGGTAACCGTTCGGCCACTGATGCAGTGAAATAAATCGGGATATTTGTAATACAAACAACCTCGCAGAATTATATTATTAACAACATAAATAACAACTTATATTCCATGACTTTATACAAAAAATTATATATTTGTCAAAAATAAACTTTTGTTGTACTGTTTAACACTTTCTAGATTTGTATTAAATGTGCAAGTGTCGTCTCGGTCGATCCCCACTCAAGGGTTATGCATCGTACTGGTATTTACGCTTTCTTTTGTTACCGCACAGAGTTATCACCGTCTAAAGCGATATTTAAATGTGTTTATTTTTGTACCAGAGTAAAATCTGTTGAATTATTAAAGGTCACGGAATAAACATTGTTATTTATTATATTAGCAATATAGTCCTGCTAAATTGTTAGCATTATATATGGACTATATAACCAGAAATAGAGACGAAATAAAAGCTATCCATCCCTGACAACTCATCAGGGAAATGGACCTTATATCACTTTTAAATATCAACTCCTGTTGGCGCTGAAATCACAAATTAGAAAGCTGAAATTGTACAGCGCCAACAACTGACCTGTGTTGTACGTCTCCGTATATTCCAAAAATATTCTGTATTTATTGTAATAAAGGTAATATCTTTAACAATAGGAGCTGTTCCATAGAGCGGTGGTGTGGGAAAAACAGAAAAATATCTAATTAAAAAACAAACGGAATCACATTTCATCGGTAATTAAATATAAAATTATGTAATTTTTCAATTTTAGTGCATTATAGCAAAGCTTAAGTTAAACTGGTAGATTTGAAGTGAAACAATTGACGACACCCGTCAATTGTTTCGAATTCGGGCTGGCCAATCGGAGAGC